TCTTGTCCACACAAGCCTCGTTGACCTGCTTCCAGACCTTGACGCTGTTGGCCTTGCGAGCGCACTCGACAGCTGCCTGGTACTCTCCCAAGTGGACCAAGGTGGTCGCAAGCTTGGCCCAGTTGGAGATGCTGGTGTAGAAGATCTTGGCGGCTTGGTGGTAGCCCTCCTCGTAAGCCTTGTCACCAGAAGTTTCAACATCAGCGACGTTGGTAGCCCGGAGGAAGTCCTCAAGCTCTGCGAGCTGATCAAGACGGGCGAAGCAGAAGGCGAGAGAGGTATCGATAGCGGGCTCGCGAAGAGTCTTACGAGCCATGCGGAGGAACTTCACAAGTTCCTCGTCCTTGCCAGCATGTGTAGCAATGTCAATCACTTCATTGTAGTTGGATGGGTCATCGGCATGGATGTACGACTCAATCGAGTCGGAGACACGCAGACCATCAAGCTGGGCCTTAGCAACCTTGCTCCAGACGTCGGGGAGCTCCATACGCTCCGCGAATTCCTGAGCCCGGTCAATGCTAACAATGTTCTCAACAAGGACATTGACTGCGGCAAGGTAGTTGTTGACCTTCTTGTAGATCTCAAAGGCCTCCTCATAGAGACCAACACCAATGCACATCTCAGCAATCTCATCCGCAGAGAACTCATTCAGCTGTTGGATGTAGCCCATCAAACGCCCCTTATCAGCCTTGGCGGCGGTCAGCATCAACAAGTTCTGCAAGCTGGTGTTATCATTGAACGGTGAGGGCTCCAGGATAATCTTCTCCAGCAGCTCAATCAGCTCACCAGGGAGATCAGCCTCGAGGAAGCACTTGACAGCCACAGAAACCTTGTCAGGCTCAGTGGACTCGGGCACTGCAGTGGCAACGACCTGATCGACGAGCGAGCGACGGTGGATGTTGTTCTCGCTGAGGACAAAGGTCCAGACCTCAGGGTCGGCACGTTCAACCAAGTAGCGGGCCTGGGCACGGTACATGGAGTTCTCGTTGGTGATGTTTATAAGCTCCAAGTCATTCTGGCCCTTGCGGTAGGCAATGTACGCGAGGTTGGGATCACGCTTTTCGCAGTACTTTCCGACAATCAAGGTGTCATACTGGTCGTTCTCCTTGAGGAATTTCTCAGGGTTGTTGTTGCTATCGATGTAGATCTTGGCAAGGGCATTGTAAACGGCCTGCTGCTGGCTGCCAGTAGCAAGGGTAGCCTCCAGGAAGGGCAGAAGCAGCTTGAGGCGGTTACGGCTCTCAACCTCGGAGACGAGCTCATCAATGGGGATGACAGAGGGATCCACAGTGGCAAGAAGGTTCTTGATGATGCTCTCATCGCAATCGACATCCAGCAGACCACCAATCACAGCAGGGGCGCGGGAGGGGTTGACGCGCTGCACGTACACTTCAATGGACTTGAACTGCTGGTTCTGGTAGAGGTAGAGAACCAAGTCGTGGATGAAGTTGAAACGGTCGCAGACGATAATGAGAGGAAGCTGCTCGGTCAAGTGGGCCTCCTTCAGGAAATTCTTCACCTTCTCTGCGTTGTAGTAGTTGCTCTCGCGACAAATGCGCTCAACCTCGGTGAGTTGGCCCATAGCGGTAGCAGCCTCAATGTACTTGAAGTGCACGTCGGGGTCCTCACTGAGGTTGACGATGCTTCCAAGGTAGTAGTAGAGACCCTCGGCAGTGCGGTACTTCTCCAAAAGATCAATGAGGCGGTTGGCACCAAGCAGGTCGGAGAACTTGGTGGCGATTTGAATCACAGCCTGCAAGTTCTGGCGAATGTTGGACTCGAGCATGGTGTCCAAGCAGTCGAGGGTCTGCTCAACAGAAAGACGACCGAAGTAGCTCATCAACCACTCAGGGCTCAGCTTGTCAGTGCGGACAATGTTGCGCTTGATGACCGCGGGGTCATCCGAGTTCTCCAGAGCGCGCTGAATGAGGCCGGCATTCTCACAAAGCTGGGCAACGCGGGCGCGATCGTAGTGGGTGAAGATCTCGTTACCAAGGATGGCGTCCGCAACTTGGGATGCGTGGACAAGGTTCATCTCCAGGAGTCGGGTCTGGAGATTGCCCTGCTCAGGCTTGTTGTCCTTCAAGGCATCAAGGAGGAAGGAAGTTGCCTGCTGGATCATGTTCTGCGAAAGGAAGACGTCCACAACCCGGTCGAGGTCCACAAGAGCACCAGACTCTTCACTGGCAAGCTGAGTAGCAAACTCAGCACCCTTCTCGGGGTTGACTCGCACGATGTGCTGGAGGAGCTGAGTGTAGTCGGGTTGGTAACCCGCTTGCTTGGAGTAAGCGAGAATCTTGTCAAATTGACCAGTCTCAGCGAATCCAGCAACAACCTTGTGAGGGATGTTGGCCTGGAGATACATACTCAAGGCCAGATTCATGTCATATGGCCGGACGATGTCTCCAAGTTCCTCCGAAGCCTCCAGCTTGTTCTCGCGCATCCACTTCTCGAGCAAGTGCTTCCGGTTCTGCTGCAGCACGGGCCGAACAAGCTCCACACTCTCGTAACGGTTGAGGGAACCCTTGTCAAGCAGCATACCGAAGTACTGCAAAATGACTGACATTTGACCGGTCTGAGGTGCGTTCTTGAAACGGGTGATGGTTTCCGGTGTACGGAGGAACCCACGAGGGGAGTTGGCAGCAACCTTGGCAGCCTCACCATAATCGCCCGCAGCAATGAAGTTATCGAACTGTGTCTGGAATAGGTGATCGACTCCGGGAAGACCAGCTCGCGAGGCAAGCTTCACCGCAAGGCCGGCCATTGCGGGGTTGGCAGTCAGATAATCGATGATCGTGTTCTCGTCAACGCTAACAGACAGAACCTGGCCCTTGCGGTTGACACCGAGAATGCCAGCACCCTCCGTGTCGGGGGCAGTGGTGAAGATGGTCTCGCTCGAGATACGGTTCATGAAGATGCAGGTACCAGTTTCAAGATCGTAAAGATGGATGAAACCATATTTGGTCACCAGGTAAATAATGTCGTACTTTGTGGACACCTGCATCGCCACAGGGAAGTCATTGACAGCCTCCTGGGGGAAGAAGACCTCCACAGCCTTCTTCTGGAATCGCGGGTTGGGCTCTTGGTGATCGATTTCGGCGATTTGCAGCTTCGCGCCGGTCTGCGTCCGAACGGCGAACGAAAACAGGTGGTGAGGCAGGGGAGATCCCTCGACGTTAATGGAGGCGAAAGCAGCGGCGTGACCTTCAATGAACTGCGAAATACCCCTTTCCTTCGAATAGAGCTGCATGGAACCCACAACACGGCCCTGCTGTTGGCTGATACCAACAACGACCATCCATTTCTCCTCGGAGTTAACGCGGTAGTTGATAATTTGGCAACCCTAGCAAAAACCAACTGATCAGTATGAATCCCCACACGGATCTAGTGAAAGTGAATTTACCGCCAAGTTGGGAAGTCTTTCGAACATCTTCACGGGTTGTTGCTGAGTGGCATCGTAGACATCCCAGTGGTAAACGGCGGTATCGGTAACCAGGCCCAAAGACTTCTCGCTGAACCACTTCCAGTACACAATATCTTCATTCATCACCGCGGACTTGAGTTTAGACTTTGCGCCGAGGTCAAAGATCTGGATTGTGCGGCCTTGGGCCTTGAGGGCGATAATGTTCTTGTTCCAGTGCATAATTGCACTGTCGGCGTTGATTGGCCGGCGCATGACCTCATTGTTGTTCTTCAAGTCAACGATGATTACTTGAGGCTTGTCGTCCTCCTCGAGCTTTTGGCGAACACAGATGTAGTGATCGGATTCTAGGGTCTGCGATGCGGTCATTGCCAGGTTAGCCGCGTTTCGACCTCATTTGTTTTGGGGGACATGTGGCACTTACACATGAGGTGAAGCCAATTGATGCCGGCTAAAAATGACCGAATACGTTAGTTAAGTGTATCGATGAGCTAGGGATGATTGCCGGGTGTAACCGGCATATCCGTGTAGCCAGGGCCGGGGTCGTCGCAAGCAACTTTCTGGGGAAAGCGCAGGCAGACTGGGGACGTACCGCAATGCCGACATTGGTCAACTATTTCACAATTGCAGTCAGTAAACGGAGCAAGAAAGGCCGTAGAATCCTTGACCGGGTGACATGAACTCACATTGACCACCTCTGTGAACTTGATAGGGAGAACCATATTTACTTAGGCCGCAGTACGACCAGATCCACCGACTGAACGCCCCAGAAAAATGATGAAATAGAATGAAAGAAGAAGAAGGAGTGAGGGGCAAAGCTGAGAAGAAGATGACGAAAGAAAGGAAGAAAGATGGAAAGAGGAGAGGGGTATGAATGAATCTAAAGAAGCGGAAGTGACCTCAGGAGGTCCGCTGTTGTCGTTGCTGAGGTGTCGCTTACCCGGCGAGTCACGTGATACAGGGGTTGTCAAGTTAAGGCTCCATCACGCGTCATTGGCTTAAGACCCGCTTTCTTGATTGGCACGTTCTCTTCACCGCACGCTCTAGACTCTGCATTCTCTACATTCGTGTGGAATGAGCTACTCCAAATGCTAGGCCACCAGATTAACTATTTAAGCTTCGTTACGTTGAATAGGAAATCCCTCATTATTAACTGAGTCTGTCTGTGAAACCTATTTTACCCGCCTGGAGGTACCCACTTAGCTACTTCTTGGTCTACCATGGTCTAGCACTCAATAAAGTACCCCATCTCTTTCATTTCTTCCCGCCAAAGAGCGAAATATATGACTTCAATTTCTCAACACACCACCAAGTTGACCCCGTTGAATATTGGATTTATCTTCTCATCTTGGAAATTAAATACCGGCGAAAACACATACCAGTTGCAGATCCAGTGAGTAACACAACGAATCTAGTCATGAGCTCAACAACCGATATAGCCGGACCTTCTGGCAGCTTCTGTCGTGTGTAATTGGATGGGCTGAGATACCTATACCGACTAAGAAATAGGCCATACGTCAAAGACAGCACGTAGAGAGGCGGGTTTTAATTGTATCCTTAACGACCTCGACATCTATATCTATACAGGAACAGCCTCGTATAACGCACTCGCACCACCACCTTGCTCATTTCCACGCCAGATCTTAACCACCTTAAAATGAGCCCGTTCCAACAACTCAGTCCATTGCTTCTCAGTCCGCTCCAGCGACGCGTACATTTCCATCATCAGAATATCCATCGCAACTGAGAAGGCAGGAGCATCCTTCTTAGGCAGGGTATTTTCATTGATCAACAAAATCGAATCCTCAGCCATAGCATCCCAGATATGTCCCAGCGCTTCAAGAGCCTGTTTATCCGGCCAGTCGTGGAGCACAGTTCGCATATAATACACCTTGGCGCCCTTTACGGGCTGCTCAGTAAACATATCGTAGCCGATCGCTTCGATGCCCTCACCAAGTGGGGCTTTAATATTCTGAATGACGGACGAGAGGTCCTCGACGATGAGACGGCCGGGTATATCAGGGAATCGCTCCTTGAAGCGTGCCACGTCATGACCCAAACCACCACCGACATCAACTAGTCGGACCCGGTCTGCTGGGACTTGTAGCTTTTCCTCGACGGGATAGAAACCATACCACTACACTCCTTCGATTTGGCGGTTCAGGCTCATGAGGGTATTGAAAGCGTGGAGATCCTCGGGATTTTTCTGGAGCCAGTCAAAGTGATGGTCTTTCGTGTTGTAGGCAAAGTGGAATGGCGCGGCCCAGGCATCTTCTGGGTTAGCGTAGTCTGTGGCTTGGAAGAATTTGTTCAAGTTTGCAGAGACTTTCATGTTCGAGTAGCTATAAGCAGCCGCAATTAGCTTGGTATAGTTTCTCATTGGAGCACAGGGACGTACAAATGATGGATAGCTGCCACGAGAGGCGATCCAGTAACAAATCCCATGGCCAAAGGCAATGGCTGGTATGTTTGGTCGGCGTTCTCAACAACAAGGTTTTTTGTAACAAGGAGCCGCAAAAAGCGCGCTAGAAAATAAGCATTTTAGTACCAGGCCAAGCCTGAAACGGAGGTATGATCTACTTAAAAGCTTCTCATCGCCTTTTGTCTTGTCTGACAATTGACTAATTGTCTGTGGCGATCCACCCCCGGCGGCTAAGGCGTCGAAAATGCCCATGCCTATGGCCACACGGATACCAACAAGACCGTAGTGCTGCAACCTTTTAGTCAGGAGCATGGGTTTTCACATCGGGTATTCTTCAATTTCACCGCAAAGCAGTAATTGCGAACAGTCAAAACTGGAGGCTCCATGGCAACGCGAACTTTGTCAATCGCGCCCAAAAGTTTGAATCGCTCCTCTTCGGGAATTGATTCCGCCGGAGGCAGCTGGGCTAGAGCTGCAGTCACCGCGGCGATGGCATCAGCGGTGGAGGCCATTGTAGTTTTTTTCAATGTTCAATATGATCAGGGAAATTATTTGAGGATGAGGGGGAAAAACGAAATGGAACTTGTATATAAAGAAGCGATCTATATGCTGCATACTGAATTGGTAGCGAGATTCGAGCATCAGATTGGGTGACTGGGTATTAGTTGAAATTAACAAGCATGTTGGCCCCCAAATGATGCGTAATTAAAGCCTCAAAAGAGGGGTGCTCTCAATAGGTGCTAGCTTAATAGTATCTGGCCCCTACTTACAGTCATGGTACCAAGAACATGATTTATCTCCAGTATGGATACTCAAATCTTGAAAAGAACCACTGAAAGGGCCCGATAGCGGACTTGCATTGGCATCAAAACCCTTAAAATCAAATTAAGTACCCCTCAAGTGCTTTTAGGTCCATGTAGCTATATACCATAGACTCCACTGACCAACCTTTAGAATGTCGGTAGTTTGAGCTCTGGTCACGACCATTCTATTGTACCAGGGGTTGAGATCCTGATCGTTTCACACTGCAGGATCTGCTACAGTAGTTAAGAAGCTTTCCAAGGTTTCAAGAAACTTGACTTTCTCTTTTGTACTTCCAATTTTCCAGAACCGAAAAATGTTTTGTGCCTTCATCGTGTAATAAGAGCCTGGAAATGCGCAAATAATCCTAGGTTGCTATACTACTCAGAAGGTGAGGTCGGCTCTTTTGGGGCGATGCTCCACAGTGATAAGAGCACCCCTCAACCAACTAAACCCCACGCCGATTACAAATGCCTAGAACGCGCGGGGCTTCCGGTACCTAGTCATCTTCCCAATAACTAAAACAACCTGACACTTAGGACATCATTTCGCCAACAATTGAACTCCCCCGCAAAATGTCTTTCGAAAAGAAGCCAATTACTGCCTCCGGTGCACCCGCACCTCCACCTTTCCTGTCGCAGGCCATCTTGATGGGCGACTTCCTCTTTTGTTCCGGACAAGTTGGCTGTCACCCCGAAACCGGCGCGCTTGTCACAGGCTCAATCGGAGATCGAACCGTAAGTTTGGACCTTGAAACCATTCTCTATGCATACTATATTGTTAAACTCGTGCTCCAGAAACAAATCCTCTCTAATCTCCGTGCCGTTTTGGAAGCGGGCGGGACTAGCCTGGAAAACGTTGTTAAGTGTAACATCTACCTTACGAGCATGAGCGATTTCGCTGCTGTTAATGAAGTCTATGCGGCGACGTTCACGAAGCCGATGCCAGTAAGTTTGAGATGCTTTCTCGAGACGATGGAAATGTCAGGAAGAGTCTAATTGGCCGTTTTTACAGGCGCGAACTTGTGTCTGCGTGAAGGAGCTGCCATTGGGAACGGACGTTGAGATTGAATGCATCGCAGGTGTGTCGAAATCCAAGCTTTAAGCGAATCAAGTGTGAACAACGTATCTAGATTGGTATCGAGCGGTCTCAATTGAACGCCACCATGGAATTATTTCTATATAACAGTGTAAAGGCATTATGCCAAGAAAAATCGTAACGTCAGTATCAGTGCACCAATGCACTACTGAGCCTGCTGTGCGAATTTGCTGTTCGCTCTAATCCAAGCACCATATCTAATAAAAACAAACGGAACGACAGCAATCGCTATCGAAAAGAATCCGAGCAGCGAATTCGCCCAATCGATACCTAACTTCGTATACATGGGATTCGCAGCCATGGGAAGGAAGATAGCAAAGGAGGATCGCAGGGTACTCGCGGCTGCTGAAGCCGAGGCGGAGAATTGCTTGTACGCGTCCGTAAGGTAATTAAGCAACGCGATGAAGATCAGCAGGTAGCCGAATCCGAAAAAGATCCCTGACATCATGGGCATGATCGGACTGATGGAGAGTCTTGCGGACCAACCGAGCCAGAAGAGGGCGATTGGGATTCCTGGGGCCCCGACGCAGGCCAAGGGGAGGCGGCGGTATTCTTCTAATTTTGCCCAGCTGTGGCCGGCAGCTAGAGCTTTGCTGTGGTATCCGCTGTATAAGAAGAAGACGACAAATGCGAGGATTGACCCGGGGAGAACTGGTGGAGGGTTAGAAGGTATCAATCAGTAGAGGAAGGGGGAGGCCCTTACTTGGAAGGAAGGCTAGTCCACCTATGCCTGCAGATAGGCCATATAGATCTGATATGGTTAGCTTGGAGCTTTGTGATAATGGTGGCAGGATGTACCTTGGAAAATGATGGGGTATGCCTGGAAGTACAGGTATAAGATCGAATAGATAAGGGCGAGGTACAGCGAGCAACAGAAAACAATCGGCTCTCGAGTGAACATGAGGAATGGGCGACCAAGAATGACAAACATCTCGTTGGAGAGAGACCCTGCGCCATTGCCCGAAGGCTTCTGGATATATCCGGCTTTCTCATCAAATCTTTCAAACCTCCGGCGCAAGACCGGCACATACGTCTCGGGCATGGTGACCAGAAGAGGCCAACCAGGGGCAGCAATAATAAGGCCTGCCCAGAAAGTCCACCTCCACGTTATGGTAGAGATGAAGCCAGAGATGATCGGACCCAACAGTGGCGGGAATGTAGTCGCAAACATGAACCATGACATCGCTAATCCACGGTGATGAGGATTCTCGTAGATGTCCGAGAAAAGTCCACCCAGCACAGCATTTGGTGCTGATCCTCCCAATCCACAGAAGAATCGAAAAACCAGAAGCGCTGGAAAGGTCGGTGCCAGTGCGCATGCCATCATGAAGATGAGGTAGATGGAGAATGTTATTACAAGGACAGGTTTCCGGCCGAAGTGTTCACTCAAGGGACCGAAAATAACAGGACCTGCATTTGTGAGTAAGAATTGAGGTCAAAATCTTTGCTGCAGATGTTCCACGTACCTATCGCAAAACCCGCCATGTAAAGGGACGTTGGCAGAACCATTTTGATGCTATCGCTGGCGATATTGAAATCATTGGCAAGCTCATCGTGGGCTCCAGATGCAATTGAAGATCCAAGTGAGCTATTAAAGACAAAATATACACCTGCAACTACGATGTGAAGCTTTCGTAGCTGTTGGATTCATATTAGCGGAGTTGCCTCACGTTTCGACTTGGGAGAGCTATACCAAGGCGAACTCAAAAGGATGGTGGAAGGTACTCGGCGAACCGGCTTCCCGAGTACAGCATCGCGTATCCTGCTTTGAAATCATCGACATCCTCTCCGATATTCCATTGCTTGCTCAATTGGGATTGAACTTTGATTCAAGTCATTAAAGTAACTTGAATCTCGTTGTGGACCGGCATTCGCCCCGAGGTCATTGTGGATACCCATTGGAAATTTTTTTCCCTGATGGATTCAGGCACGACTGTAATTGGCAGTGGTCTCCTTGTATAAATGTGGAGTTTGACGCCAGAGCCGAATAACTATGTAACCGGTACGTAAAAAGTTTTTCGGCAGCCCGACCGGCTAAAAGTCCGGCTGGTTATCGTCGGGATTGATTCGCAAAGAACTCCGGAGGTCTCCACCGGATCCATAGGAGTTACATGACCGTATACTTGATCAGGCATCCAGCTCATTCATCATGGCAAGCAGTCGCGTGCATATTCTCGGGCTGGGGAGTATCGGATCATTCATTGCTCAATCTCTCCGCTCTCTTGCCGCCCCACCGCCCGTGACACTTCTCGTCCACAGAGAAAGCCTCTTCAAGGAACTTTCAGCCAATGACTGGAAACTCGGCCTCCGCGTTGGAGAGGCTGGAGAGTTGAGGCAAAGCTCGGGATTCGATGCAGAGCTACTGGGAAAGACAACCTCAAGTACCAGCCCAATACGTGACTTGATTGTCGCCGTCAAAGCATCGGCAACGGTGACCGCCCTTGAGCCATTTAAAGATCGAATTGGACGCGATACTACCATCTGTCTTTTTCAAAATGGCCTTGGTCAAATTGACGATCTTAATGAACGCCTTTTCCCCGATCCCTCAACGCGGCCGACATACATGTGTGGCGTCATCCGTCATGGCGTGTACCTGAAATCAGCCAGCGAGGCTATATTGTCAGGCCCTAATGGGTGCGTTGACATCGGGTTTGTAGAAGGAGACAGCGCACGTCATCGTCGGTTCCTCCTCGACACCCTCATCCGGTCGCCAATCCTTCGCTGCACTGAATTGAAACAAGCCGACCTTATAAGGGTTCAGCTACTCAAATTAGCGACAAACTGCGTGCTGAACCCATTAACAGCGCTTCTGGATTTCCGCAACGGCGGACTCTTGGATAACGCTGCGCTCCAGCCACTACAGCGTCAGCTATTAGAGGAAATTTCGGCGGTCTTTGAGAATCTTCCGGAAATCAAAAGCTTGGCCTATGACCGTTCGCAGTTCTCGGTCACATCGTTGGAGACTACTCTTCGTGACACTGTGGAAAAGACGGCGCATAACTCGAGCAGTATGCGCGAAGATGTGAGGAAAGGGAGGAGGACGGAAATTGACAACATCAACGGCTGGATCATCAAGCGAGGCAAGGAACTGGGGATTGATTGCCCAGTCAATACTTGTTTGACTCAACTCATACTGGCAAAGAATCGATAACCATAAAATCGTTCCAATCTGAGAATTTCTAAGCAAGCTTTGCCAAACGAGCTGTTGCACTTTCATGCCAACGTACGGCGGAATTTTACTGACTATGGATTTATGTCGGAACATGCCCGATTTGATTATTGAATCTCTTAGCATTGTGCCATAGTCTATAACTAGAGATATGTGCCGCTGTATGGTTATTGTCATCGATTCCAAGTTTCTCACCGGGTCGGATACCCCTTGGGCGTTCACGGAAATAACCGACGTCATGACTTTGATAGGATGTTGTCGACAACGAAAATCAATTGACAAGTTAAGAATTGAAACAAAGGCTTAATACATATAAATCTTCTTTTGAAGACACATCCGGACTGGAATTTGACGGTAATTGGCAAATGTCACGAATTTTCATTCTATGGTTGTGGCCCCTGGTGAACAGTTCCATGATTCATTGTGGAGCTCCATCGAACGACTCCTACCCTAGGACAATGACTCGTTTTATTAACCCCTGGATATCCGCAAAATATATTCGTTGCAAATTTTTTCTTCCTTCACTTGCTGGATTCTGCCACAATGTGGCTAGCGTCAATACCATATGTGCCTTGGGGCTTAACAATACTCACTACTTTATGTGTGACCCAAGCCGCCGATCCAGTTGAACTATCAGTTTCCCGAGAAGGCGGAAATAAATCAAGCCCCTTGCTCTATGGAATCATGTTCGAGGTTAGAGAACCGAACTTGTTCTGCTCCAAAACGCTGACTTTTTATCTAGGAAATGGATCATTCAGGTACGCCACTTTCTTTCACACCACGGTCCACAGGTGTTCCTAACACATACAGGTGATGGTGGAATCCATGGACAGCTACTCCAGAATAATGGCTTCCAGGGAGACAGCCTTGGATTGACGGCATACGCACCCGTAGGGGATGTAATGATCTTCCAAGATAAAGATCATCCTGTGAGCGACGCCATTACGTCTTCGATTTCTGTCTCGGTTCCAGAGAATACAACGGAGTATGTTGGTTTTGCGAACACAGGCTATAATGGAGTTCCAGCCCTGAATTCTACATACACCAGCTCATTCTGGATGATGGGATACTACTCGGGAACGATCAATCTTCAGCTTGTTGGGTCGAACAATGGCATCGTTTATGCCGACCACAACCTGACTGTTGAAAGCACAGATGCTAAATTCACCCAATTTGAGACGACTTTCAACTCCACACTATCCCCTGATGGAGAAAATGAGTGGCACTTGACATTCGATGGCTCGAAAGTTGCTGGAAGCTCATTAAACTTTGGATACATTCAGCTGTTCCCACCAAGATATCAGGATCGGGAGAATGGATTGCGCGAAGATCTGGCAATATTCCTTGAGAAAGTTGGATTCAAGTTCCTTCGATTTCCAGGGGGAAATAACATCGAGGGTCTAGAGATCGACAACCGGTGGAAATGGAATAGAACAATCGGACCTCTAGTTGACCGACCGGGACGAAACAGCGACTGGTTCTATCCCAACACCGATGCCCTGGGTCTTGATGAGTATCTATGGTGGTGTGAAGACATGAATATGTCACCTTTGCTGGCTCTCTGGTCAGGCAAGTCATACGGCGGGATTGTCTCAGGCTCCGACCTTCATCCATTTGTCGATGATATCATGAACGAGCTGGAGTACCTCCTCGGTAATACATCAACCGACTTTGGAAAGTTACGGGCCCAGAATGGTCGCGAGGATCCATGGAAGATCGATTATATCGAAATCGGGAACGAAGACGACCTCACGGGTGGTTGTGATACCTACCCCGATCGCTTCAACCAGATTTATAAGGCTATCCATGACAAATATCCCAATATCACGCTCGTTGCCTCGAATGGCAACTACTCCTGTCTACCTTCACCGCTACCTACGGGTGTCATCATTGACCTGCACTTGTATCGTATGCCGGATGACTTTGTGGCATTGTTCAATCAGTATGATAACCAGCCTCGAGATCAACCTGTCATGGTAGGTGAGTATGGATGTCGGAATACATCTAACGCGAAGGGTACATATTGGTCATATATGCAAGGCAGCTGTAGCGAGGCTATATACATGATGGGCATGGAGCGGAACAGTGATATTGTTACGATGGCAGCATATGCACCTATGTTGGAGCATTTCGGGTTGATAGCATGGTCGGTAAGTGATATCAAAAGAATTGATCGCTTATATCCCACACTAATTGCTGGTATAAAACCCCAGCCAACGCTTTATGGGTTCAATTCAACTCCTGGGTCAATCACGCCGTCGACATCTTACTACGTTCAGCAAATGTTTGCTTCCAATAAAGGAGACACAGTTCTTCAGATCAATTCGTCGGCCGACTTTGGACCTCTCTATTGGGTGGCTACGAAGACGGAGTCACAATATTACGTGAAGCTGGCGAATTATGGGTCGAAGGAGCAGAACGTCACCATCAGCATTCCTGAAACAAGTTCAGGGAGGTTAGAAATGCTCTCCGGATCGCAGTTTCAAGGCAATCAGCCTTATCAGATGGAAATTAAGACGGCAACCACGAAGGTTCATAGTGAGAATGGGACGTATTTTGTCACTATGAACTCCTGGGCAGTTGCTGTTCTAGCTGTTTCTTGACAAGAAGCTCGAATATACATTCTTAATGTCTGATCTAAACTCTATCCACACCCCAGGTACTTCAGATTGAATAACATCCTCATTTTCACATCGTGTTTCTTTCATCAGCAGCTGCATTAATCGCAGCCTGAACCATCTCCTTCTCCATAGTAATAAAAATACTATGATCCGCATCAAAAACCTCAGTTTTTACATTAACCCCCTCCTCTTGAACCTTTGCCAACATGATATCTTGATAAAGAGCTGGAACCCCATAATCCTGCAATGTGCGAATATAAGTTGCAGGAATAGTTCTCCAAGCGCATCCTGTCATCGGATCCTTCAAAGCCTGCACCGGGAACCACACCAAACTCTCCACTGCTCTGTCAACAGTAGCCTGATCTACTCTTCCGCTGAAAAGAGCAAATCCCGGGTCTTTGGGCATCGTCAAGCCATCTGTCGTGGTATCCATATACCCTTCCAACACCTGTTCAAACTTGGCTTCCTGCACGATATTCCAAACAGAGTACCCGGTGGGTAGAATGTATGCACACAAATACAGTAAATGGATAACCCCGCCCGGTTTACCGGATGCTTTCCGTTCGGAGAATGATAGACCCTCCACGGCACTGGATCCGACGGCGCCGCCGTACGAGTGCATGATCATGAGAACACGCTGATCATCGTCAATAAGCGTTTTAACTAGTTCTCTGACGCAGGCGACGTCTTCGGGGTGGAATGCTGTTGGTGGTCGGGCGCTACTGCTTGTTGGCAGCCGGGGGCAATGGACTTGGAATCCCTGTTTTTGGAGGGCGTTCACATAGTCCGAATAATTGGCCGGGGTGTGCCAGGCCCCGTGTACCAGCACTACTGTAGGGAGTGATGACATTTTATGTGTGAATTCCGGTTTCTCACTGGGGGCACATCTACTAAAGGACAGATGTTGCTGTGTTGCTGTTTTGGAGAGGGGGTATGGCCCCCACTCTGGATGTGTCATCCAAACACGAAACCTAAGTTACTTAGCTTGAATCTGACTTGGTCTGATAGATGTACACATTTCAACCAGGTAAAGGATCTACTTCATAGCCTATACGCAAAGCGGGGCATCAATCAGCTTTATTTAATGGCCATTACCAAGGTTGCGAAGTAAACCATGATCAAACCGGAAAAGGGTGGAATAGTAGAAGAAGTCTACTATAATTCAACCAAGTGTCACAGGAGGAATTATTAATGGGGACAAGTTTTTCAAACACGTTGCCAGGAATTTGCGTCCAGCAGGCTGTGGCGTGATGCAATTTTATAATAGATTTTAGCCAGCTCTAGATCCAGCAAAGATGATCTCGGACTTCGTTATCGATCGGAAACTATCAGATGAGCAAATTTAGCTCTGTAGAACCACGTACAAAGATTGTGCGCTCTCTCATTTCAATTATTCAGAGACATGTCTAAGTTAGGGCAAATCCTAAGTTAGGGCAAATCGAGATTTCTATGCACGAAATGACCGTATCGTGGTACACAGTATATCCAAGCTAAAGAAATATGACTATTTCAATCCCGACTCATCCTGCATCTCAAGCTTTAAATGAGTCTAATCTCCTTCAAAGCCGTGCCTGGAACTTGAATTTATCGAATGTAGTACAGACTGTGGCAGTAACACAATCGTTCCTAAACGAGCCCCTGAGCTTATGCCCCAAGCTTGTGTCATGACGGCATCCTCATTAAGCGAAGGTACTACCAAACCCATGCATTGGAGGTCAGGTTTGCCTGCAGAAGGTAACAACACCCCAACAGCTATCCATCTTTTATACTTCAGGTGCAATGTAACTGTTGAACAACCGGAAATCATACTTAGTCTTCCCGAGACATTCGTGTGTAAACAGTGTGAGACTCATACATTGGCTGGCTGACAAGACGTGGCTCTTATTATTGGTTTTGTTTTAGCGCCATTACCTATTTTACGGGAACTGAGACCTTAAGATGTGTTCTTTTTATAGTGTCATATATGATTGTACCACGAGTCGCTGTAACCTGAGCTCGTCCAAAATCACTGGCGTCCACCTCGCTATGAGATATTTTTCACTGGTAAGCTGGCAGTATCTAGCCTTCTTCTAAGTGTCATACGATGGAGCATGTTGGAATTCAGCTATCTGGGGATTGGATAATCCATGCATCGTCAAGTTTTCAGGTATAAAAGCAGCCACAAGAGGAGCTCATAATAAATCATTCACCACTAACCTTCATCTTCATCATTCATTAACCATTTGACACCTCTTTCAACTCATCCTTTTCCAGTCAAAACGCCACCATGGTCCACTCATATACCCGGGCTATTGTCTGGCTAGGCCTCGCCTCTCTAGCCCTGTCTGTGCCCGTGGAACCAAACTCAGAAAAAACGAGTGATTCCTCAGACCGCTATGCGCCTAGTTGTTAGTTGATCCGAAAACCTTTCCAGTTGTTACGAAATCTCACACTTTCATTCAGGTACCCAGTTCTATAAGGTGCAACAAGGAGATACATGCTGGGACATTGTCTCCCAGAACCAAAATACCTTCACCATGGGCCAGCTGCTGTGCTGGAACCCTGATATCAACCCCTGGTGCTCGAATCTCATTCCCGGTCGCAATGTGTGTATCGGTGTGGTCAACCCTGCGAGCTGTGCTAAGTAGTTTAATTGAATTTTGTTGGTGGCTTTTGTGAACGGACGCGCATTTTGGCCAATTACGAAGCTTCTCGAGATACGTTATGTTGGTGGAACAATTTGCCAGTTTGCTATTGACGCAATTTGTATTACGAGTGAATTTTGATTTGCTGTTTACCTGCCCTTCCAGCATTTCTCCAGTAATTCTCTCATCGTGATGGGTCGCACATCCGGGAATCGAGCATTGAGCCGGTTCTCCTTAGGAAACTGGAAGACACCATTCACAATGAGCCTGCTACACAGCGCTGTGACCTCTTTCAGTTCATCGATTGAGTCATTTGCTGTATCATCCAGACTCGGTGGTACAGTGACATCCCCTGTGTTAATTTGTTCAATGCTATCGTATGTCACTTTGAACTTTGTACCTGTTTGAGTTTAGTGACTATTGAATTTGAGAGACAAGAGGACCATCTTACCCGTGATTTCTTCCGCCATGCTCAAGATCTGATTATAGGTGACTTCATCGCCCACAATTATGCTAAATTCAGGCCATTCGTCGAGATCGAGGACTTTGATCACGTATTTCGCCATATCGTGCGTGTAGGTCATACAGATTACATCATTACCATCACCAGGTATTGCGGCTTCGCGCTTGGCGATGTTGATTCCGAAAGTGTAGGGCTGCAGATTGGTTTGGACATGCGGCATGCCCCAGTAGTCCATGAAGTAACCCGGGATGACACGAGTGTACTTCAGCGAGCTGTTTTTCAGACGATTGGCAGCATCAAGCCAGTATTGAATACTTGGATCTATCGGGAGAAGACTGTCATCGGAAATATTAGCGGGTTGAACACGGCGAGTGGTAGTTTTGTGCTCACTCTGATGTTTGAATAAACGAGAATTCACTTGGAATGAATCGCTTGATTGTTGCAGATAACTCGGCCGCATCAATGAGGTTTAATTGAGATTGACTGGTCTCATCGGAGATAAGGCCGATAGCAGATATGATAGTGTGAACATTGTGACTATCAAGGGTCTTCGCTATCGACTGAACATCATCGTAGTTGATCTGCACAATCGGGATTTCAGGGAAAGCTGATTCTTGCGTCGACTTTGATTCGTCAGTAATTGGTTTACTCATGGGAGCGAATATTCCTTACTTGACGAGAGAGCACGATGACTTTAAACTTGGGTTCTTGCATCAATCTCTCGACAAGGGTCTTGCCCACCCCTCCCGATCCCCCGGCGACGGCGATAACAGTCATTGTAGCCGTTGTCAAATTCTTTGTGCCTGTTCCTATGGATGCGGGGTTCTATCTTGCGTTGCGAAGAATCTAGGCTGGAATATGGTGCCCGACTTGCATTCCCGGAGTCAAAAGCTCGGGTTTCACCCCACGTTTTGCCCCACCGGTGGCCAACTCGCTTGAGTAATTTCCTTTCATCGACCACAATTTCTATCAGACAGCAAGTAAATTCAAAGCAGTTCTGATGTGAACGATGCATTCTAGAGAATCCCGTATCTACTTTTTTATGTCCAATCATGCCGTCATCAGGGGATCACTGATACGCGATCGGGCTTTCGGGCTTCTTCATCGGCGTTCATGACTAAGATTGCAGACGGACCGAGAACCCATATAAAAGCACTTTCCGCTCTCCCGTTATCAATCCTATTTTGTCAAGATCTACGCTTTTACCTATATCCACGGGTATCTATACAAGTTCCTCTCAAACTTTAAACAAATCCCTTCAAAATGTGCATGAAGGCTCAGTGCTCCACCTGCAGTAAGTTTGCAGATCTTGGAATTTCATACATCCGATCACGGCTAATCAGTCCCCAGACAAGGTGTCTTGGTGGGGTTGTGGCGCCCACATCCCGTCCGTTATGGACTCAGTGCCTGAGAGCGAGTGGTGCGCCTGCACTCCTCAGGTCGAGAAGGATGGGAAGAAGTACCCTCCTAAGGCCGCTCGGTCTTGACTAGATGGTTGTGTGATTTTCTAGGCTGTTTAGCGAGGCGAGTATGGGTGCTGGTGTGATGTCATTTTTTAATGGAGACGTGAAGTCTGAGATTCATTTGGGGACCTGATCATGAGGGTATTTCGGTGTTGTGAAATTGAATATGCATTTCATAATCAATCTAAGAAACTCGTGTTTTTCTATATACAAGGTGGACCTCGGGAGAAGACGCATCCAGGGTCCCCTATCCCACCCTTGGACCAGCCATAGTCTAAGTACGTAGTTCTCCAGCGTTAGGAAGTTCCACGGCATGTCATTAGATATGTTCCACTCCGACGCCATCAATCTCTTTCTCGTCAATTTGCTCCTCAGACTCAATTTGGCCGTGCGCTTTGAGTTCCGCAGCCATCATTCGTGCCTGTTTCACTGGGTCTCCACCCCGGGAGAAGATTAAATCAACATCCTCCAGACGCAGATTGCCGGTCTCGGGATAGAAGAAATAGATGACCGGGATGAAGATAAAGTTCGTGATCATGAAGATCAGGTATGCCTTCCACTGGATGCGGTTGATAATGACAGGCGTGATCATGACCACAGTGAAGTTCCAAAGCCAGTTGGAGCTGACACCAATGGCTGTTCCCTTGGTTCGAGCTTCCAACGGTAGAATTTCTGGGACATATACCCAAGGTACAGAATTGATAGACATGCCATGAATGAGCATATACAAGAAGAAGAACGCAACTGAGGCTGAGGCATAATTCTTTCCGTTGGGCTCGTCAACCTGCGATAGGAGAGCTGCGATCATGAGCATACATACGCCCAAGCCGAAGGATCCTATCATCATTGTCCGTCGCCGACCCATACGGTCCAACATAAAGGCTGGAAGAAGAGAGCCTATCATGAACATGACTTCGATGCATCCACCCAAGATCGAAGGGAGCTTTCCTGTCAGCCCAACATTCTTTTGCAAAACAGCTAAAATGGAAACCATTCAGTCAGTACCTGTAGCCCAGTGAGTGAGCAGAGAGCACTTACTCGGCACATAATAAACGATCATATTGATTCCTCCAACTTGGTTCATGAGCTGCATTCCCCAGGCAAGAAGAACTCTTTGGCCAGTCTTGACTTCGTCATTGCGGAAGATCTTCCACATCGACTGCTTGCTGGCAGAGCTTTCCACTTCGATAGCAGACTGAATTGCACGGCGCTCCTTGATGATGTACTCGTCATGCTCTTCCAAGTCATAAACTGCACAGAGAACATCCAAGGCCTCATCTTCTCGCCCATGGTTCATGAGCCAGCGAGGAGACTCCGGCAGACCGAAAATGAGCACAATGACAAAGATGGCGAAGATTATTTGGACAGCGATCGGAAGACGCCAGGCAATCGGGCCCCCAGCGTAGGACATGCCGAAATCAAACCAGTATGCGATGCAGATGCCAACAGCGGTGAAAAGAACCTCGGAGGAGATGAGTCGACCTCGTGTTTTGCCGTCGCACATTTCTGCTTGGTACCTAGTAAAGGTTAGCATCATCCAGTCAGTAGATAATCGAGTATGGAACAACTTACATGGGCACAGTAGATGTCTTAATTCCTGTCCCTGCACCGGTAATAAGTCGTCCGATCACCAAATGAGGCACTGTAAACGCAGTAGTCTGCAAAATTGCGCCTACAATAACAATAGCCATTGCGAGCCACATCGTTCTCCGACGACCCAGGGTCTCTCCCACGAAGAAATTGACTTGGCCATGTCAGTAAGCGGAATCTGTGAGTGGGGGTCCTACTTACTGAAACATCCCAAAAGACAACCCAGATTATAGCAGCTGACGATGATTCCCTCTTCAGAGTCATTGGGATAATTGAACTGCCTCATCCAATCTTCATTGGTTACGATGCTGCTGAAGACTCCTTGATCATATCCAAACAAAATGAAAGCCACGAGACAGCATGCCGTAACGGCCGCCTGAAGAGATTTGCCCCGTCCAAACCAGGAGCGCATGATGTATAAATTCCAAAAGTCCTCTGGTAATTTGAAGCCCCCATATCTGCTTTCGAGGGCAACTTGGCGTCTTATACCCGTCCGTTGGCATCAGGAACAAGCTCCTGTTCGGGCTGAAACGCAGCCGAACTGCATCATCGCGCAGATTAGAGTTTCGCATGATCCAATTGATGTCGTGTGTTCAGGGTCCACGGTGGACCCTGTCATTCACTCTGGAGAATCTGGAGATGCCATTTACGCGAAATCTGGGCGAGAGGCACTTGTGTGGGGTAGCCAAAGGCCCCTCGGCAGGGGTGGCTTTACATGGGAACTGGATGAGTGCCGATCGGCAACACCCGAACGGGGTTGCAGATTCCTGATGTGGCAGATATCGCGGACTAAAGGTATTTCCGGCGCCTAGCTTACCTGCAACGGAATTAACGTTCTATGATAGGAAGGTGCAACCACGCCCGACCAGACATCAGATGCGGAACGCGTAGTATAGTGTTATCCTTGAGCACAACTTGGCTAGGTACCAATCGAGGAGAGAAGTTGGAGTTGCAGCAGCCTTGGAATTTCTGAATGGATATGTAAAGGTCAATTGTACAACTTCGTCTATGAAATCTATGATAATTTTACCCTGCAAAATGATACAACCGATGTGTTGAAAACGCAGCAATGGGTTCACCTCAATCAATCTACAATTTTTTCCATTCTCATCGCTCTGAACGGCCCAGACTGTGCCATGACACCATTACTTGCTTCAATTCCGGTTCTTAGGCTTCTTCAGAAAGAGATATTTGAAGCTGCTCCTCGGCTGCAACATCTATCTCACTATCTTCATACTCTGCAACTGAAGTAAGGGAACTGTGAAGTTGTTCCTCTGAAGCGGCGTCCACCTCAGAGTTCTCATACGTCTCATCGGAGCTGTAAAGATACTCGTCGACTGCAAAATCCGGGTCATTGCGCTCGTCCTCGTCATTGTCCTCGTCGTCACTCTCGGTTTCGGTCTCTGTAGTAGGAGTGGCAGCACCCGCCTCTAATGCCCTCTCCCTGTTGATTCTTCGGGTGCGGTTACTAATCTTCCAGCGGATGGCACGAACACAGCTGGAAAGCTCACTGGCCGGTCCGAGCATGACCTTCTCGGCCTCATCTTGGAACTCCTCGGGAAGCTATAAGTGAGTGAGCTCGAAAGATCCACGCTGATAACTTCATATATTTGTACTAACCGGAATGCAGCGGTGGTGACTTTCTCCGCAATGCCCGCATCTCTTGCGGCCCTCACTCCAGACACAGTGGTGATCAGGGAACTTTTCCAGTCGGAGGAAGCATCTTTGACATGTATCTCGTAGGGTTCTTACACAATATGTTCTCTGGGCGAGCATTGGAAAGGCTGACTGGGCAAATTCAGCAGTGGTGCTGTGGTCAGTCATATCTCTTTTTATCGTTGTTTCTGGTCGGGGATTGGTGTAGACTCTGTATGAGGGAACTTACATGAGTAAATAAAGATGTAAGTTGGTTGCCGTTGTAGGATTTTGTTTGGATTGGGCATCATTGATCTGAATCAGGTCGATTTCATATATTCTTGAGGGGAAATTACTCTTTGTGGACGGTTCTAGTCTACGAAGCTCTCCAACAAAGGTACACTGTGGCTTGAGACATTACCGAACATCATTCAATGTCAACGTTTCATTGTCCGATTGTCAACATATGCAGATATTCTTTATTTGTTCGACAAACTACAGTGCGATTTTAAACAATATGAGCAAGCGCTGAGATTTGGAACGAGATTTGGAACACACTGATTCACTCTCTTCAAGAAGGAAATCTCCATGTTTCTACTTATTCTGACATACTCTTTGGGTCTTTTGCTGAATGGGGTATGATAGCTTAAGACAACTTTGCATGACTCGGTCCGAGATGAATTTTGGATGTCCAAGAAATATTTCAATATCTTGGAGCTCAACGTGAACCAAAGAATTGTCCGATATCCTTAAGTGGGGCCATATTGATATTATGACATCATTGTAGAAGTAAAATAATCCAGACTGGGATGTCCGGATTTCTGCGTACTAATTTCTACATGCGACTAACGCAGTAAGATGACAGAATTTTGCCTACAATCACGATCACTATTTACACAATATCAAAAGCACTTCTAATAGGTACCCTCATGGTTCTCGTAGAATACTCAAGTTTGACTGAAGATCAGGCCCTTGCGAATCATCAAAGCCTGATTTGGTCTAGCGTGAGGCAGCAAGATCACTGCTTTGGCTGCCCTTATCAATTTACCGCTTTTTATTTCTGCCAGGCTCTCGCTATCTGTCTGCAGGACTGTAATATGAGGTTTTGATTCTGATATACTGAAAACTTACAAGCAGAAAACTTTCGGTGTTTTTTCTTAGCCGACGATAAGTGATTTGGTTTTCTGGCCACATATGAGAATGATTCGTAGAGCAAGATCATTCACCAATTAGTCATAAAATATATTGTTCTCTTTTCTTCAACCTTTCACCACTTCACTTCTCTTTTGTGTCCTGAATGCTCTAGTCGTTGATGTCAAACAACGTGCCATTGCCAATGCGTCTGCCAATCGGGATTTCTATAACATCTCAAATGATGATGGCTCTCAACACTCGTTGGGTCAACTTTCATGGGCGGTCAATAAAGCGGTGGGGCCTCCAGGCCAATGATCAGCCACTGAGGCTGGTCCTAAGATAGTGAATGTGGCTGTGCTTTGTCTCCCGCATCTCCCTCGCATTCGCCAGGCGTCCCAGTGAATAACGCCGACAGTCAATTAAGGTGAAGTTTCTGGGGCCTGACCCCGTATCTGAAACACATTGGGATAATGCAAGCGGCTCCGACCAATTCGCCCATATAAATTTGCTGTCAATTTACTGGAGCGCCTCAAAAACGTTGATCGCTTCACTTGGCTAGGCCTATTGCTATAAATCCCCAGCGTGGGCTAGTATATCCGTTTTGCGGGGCCCCGCAGGTTTGAATCCTGCTCAAAAATCCCAGCTGTTGTGTTCAGACGAATCCTGGCTCGAGAGGACGGTCTGTTGGTCTGAAGGGTTTCTTTCCCATTTTCTCACATCATGTCTACCGCACCAACATCTGCTCCTGCGGGAAATTCAGCCGCTACTTCTCTCCCTATGAAGATTGAAAGACAAGCCGCCGGGATGCAAGGCACAATATCATCTGGCAATAGTAACGCCAAACCTGTCAACTGGGAGTCTGAGATCCAACTCGTGTCGTCACTAGCAAAGCTCCAAGAGCTCGAACGCAAGGTGAGTGTGTTGCGCACATTGTGCACATCACCAATCTCCCATGCTTCCATTCCATGTGGATAATGTATGCTTCGAGAAATTATGGCCCAAGGCTAACGTCACCAGATCCATGAAATCCGACAGTTCGTCCCAGCTGGACTTTTAGAACCAATAGTCCCAATATCAAGTTCAAACACAGTCTCGGCCAACAATCCCGCCGCTGAGACACCGGCAGCTCTGCGCAATGATCTTGAACATGCAGCTCATGCTCGACTTGCCAGCCTTGAACAGTTCCAGTCCATGTGGCGCGGTCCGGAGATGAAGCCTGTTTGGGCTCACGTTGAGGCGCGTTTGAGAGAGGCTAATGGTCAAATTCTCCAACCCACCAGCATGTGGGAGAAGGATTACGATGTTCTCCTTGCTGAGCTGACCAAAGCTGAGAAGACCAAGGAAGACGAGCGGTTACGGGAAGAAGAAGACGCCGAGCGAACAAAGGCTTTATCATCGGAAGGAGAATGGACTGCCGTCATTGAAAGATTTGAGCAGCGGAATGTTCCTGGTGTTCGTGTCATCAAGGGACAGAATCAGACTTCGCTGGCTATAGCGCTTTCAAGAGCCGGAATGGTCTTCCTGGTTGCGGGTGTGCAGGACCACAATTCACCCGCTGTGTCTGGGTGGCAGGTATCGAGCAGAGTAGCACCAGGTCGAACTACGACAAAGCTAGAGCAAGCCGTTCTTGAGTGCTTGAACTCCCGACCGCGCAAGTGGGACCTTGCTTTCTTACTGGTATGTGTTTCTACTCGGTCAATCAGAACAAAGACTTAAGATTGGTCGTCTCTGTATTGGTTCTAACTAATTTTTTTTTTTTAAGGACATGATCGCTTCATATGCAGATATCAAGCAAACACCTTGTATAAAGTGTGGCCAGCTCACCAACAACGCGGCTCAACTCCCAACAATCCGTTGCGCTCAATCCCCTCCACCCCCAACAGACGACAAATCTCGTCTCTTCACCTTCGACGCCTTTCATCCGAGCTGCGCTCAAGCAGGTATCTCTAATTGAAAGGAAAATCAAATAAAGGACCAAAGGCAACACCATTGGAATATCAAAATGCAAATCATCACGCCCTTCCATTCTAAACCCTATCACTCCATTAACTCACTCCTCATCCACAAATTCGTGATCATCATGCTCCCCATAAATGATATCATGCCAATAATTGGCCGGATACTCATTCCCATTCTGATCCCAATACCGCCTCGGCACATAATGCTTCTCCGTCCCTTTCTTATGACGCACCAATCCCCCCTTCCCTCGTGCCGTGCAATACTCCACACGACTCCACGTCCCCAGGTCCGGAACAGTATACTTCCGTTGACGGTAATCGTAGCGCTCGTCAACATCTCGACGGGCCCAGGGTACTTCAATATTAGGCTTGGATTTGGGTTTGGAACTATCCCGGCCCGAAGTCGAAGTCGAAGTCGAAGTCGAAGTCGAAGTCGAAGTCAAAGTTGAAATGGAAGTGGTAGCCCAGGAAGAAGAGGTAGAAGAGGCGGAAGCCGAACTAAGGGATTTGGGTGAAATGATATCTTCCCACCGATCCCAGTTCGTTCTTTGTGGTGATTGTTTGCTTCGGGTAGATGGCGTCGTTGAGGGTGTCAATCCTCCCGCTAGAGACGACGATCCAGATCTGGAAGACGAGGACTTTGTCTTTTCGCCAATAACACCGACGTAGATATCGGGTCCCTTGTTCGTGAGGACATCATGGAAGCGCCAGCGTCGTGGCCAGCTAGATGGGTTTCCTGGTCGAGGATCTTTGGGCCAGATCCAGCCTAGAGCCTGGGTTTGTGGCGCCATGACTCTTCTTTCTCTTTCGGTTTTAGAGGGAATAGAATTTAGGAGAGGAGGCAAATATTAAGTTGAAAACGGTTCTTGATCTAGTTTGGTTGGTTGGGGAGGTTGGAAATTGATATAGCAAAGGGAAACTGATCAAACATGTATGTATGCTTTATTCTCTTCGGCTGGTTGTTCCATGTTGGTACAACATTATGCTTGATTTTTTATGCATGGCAATTAAGGCTCTAGTCTACATGATACCGGAGGGTTCTGGCTTCCTTTCTTCTTCCATTTTTCCTTCTTTCTTTGTTTCTTTCCCATGCATAGGATTCACATGTTTGTTTATATTCTCTAACAAGACAGTTTTAGACTAGAAATCACTCAATGTGTATGAATATCGGGGCATGTTGGAACAACGCTAAAATCCTGTTTTACCAAATACAATGAAGATCCAACCAGGACAATGACACAATGACATCCTACCGCGGTTGAAAGAAAGTCAACTAGACCTACCCGAAACATTAAAACGAGCTCTTGTCTCATTACTTGCAGCAGGTAATACTGTCTAGCCCGAAAGAAAGGTCAAGGAAGAAAGGTCAAAAGAAAAGAAAAAAAACCCTCTACGCAATGAAAAAGAGGCTGCGACTAAGATGATGATCCAATATGGCTCTTCATCAGCTACGGGGTTCAGGGAGTTCGCCTAGGTGAGAATCAGTATTAAGCGAGCGACGAGTCGCAGGGATAAAGGTTGAAATTTGGCAAGGAAATTGCACCAGAGGCCCAAACAAGCAGACACCTGGAAGGCAGGAGGCAGACAATACAAGATATTCTACTCTAGTTGGGTGGGTACTCGGCTTGTATAACTACCTGACGCATAAGTGATTGGAGAAGGGCACATATTTGATAACATAGATTGTTTGAAATTCACAGGCGCCTGTTCTAGTAGAGATTTTATTCAATGTGATGATCATTAAATATAAACTTGATGCCAATTTTTCCAGTGAAAAAGAAAAAAGAAACAAAAAAACCAAAAGCTTAAGAAACATGAATGCATGCCGAGCTCCTTATATCCGAAAATGAAAAACGCCGTTTCCTTGCTATTAATCGTAATGTTTCGCTGTCAAGAGATGGATAACGCCCTAAACCAAAGAATATATCCATAAGAAGGTCATGTTGCTCTATCTCCAACTAGGGTGACCTTAGAGGGAGAAGAGGCCAAAGCTGCCCGCAAACCATGTGAAGGAGAGGACTGTGAGCATAGCCATGCCGACGACGAATTTGAGTCCTTGGCGGTTCGTGTCAGATAAAGCACCGTTACAAGTGACACAGAAGAATCCTAATGAGTTGTTAGTTGACTTTCACGTCAGATAATAAGAGCGAGGAAGAACGTAAACGTACCACTCAGTGATGTGGGACTCTGAGTGAAGTACATCCCGAAGGAATATCCAGTATCAGAGCCTAGGTAGCCTGCGCTGGCCGTGTCACTGAGAGACTTGTCCGCATCGTAGACGAAGAGCGTGTAGCTCGCAGTCAACAATGGGATAGTTGCGGTCTTCTCATACTCGCCGGTGTCCCAGATGGCAGTACCAGTGGCCTCCATGCTCATGTTCTTAGTCACTGTGTAGGTGGCACTGTTCAAGCTGCAGGATGCCACAACATCCACAGCTGTGGGGGACACGGTGACGGAGGTGTAGTTCCAGACGAAAGTGATATTTTGTCCGATCTTGTAATAAGTTGTCGTAGTGGAGTCCGGGGTGAGCATGGAGATGCCACCCGCGCCAGCAGCCGGGTTGATCGAGACCGAGGATGTGGTGGTGGATGATTTTGTCTTGGTGTTTTTAGATGTACCAGTGGTGGTGGAACCACTCGTTGTTTCATCACTGGCGGTCTTGGTGTTGGTAGAGGTATCGGTCTCACTGGAGGACTTGGTAGAAGTTTGGGAAGCGACTGAGGTTGTTTGTTCGGATGTTGATGCTGTGCTTGTCTCGTCTAAGGAACGAAGTCAGCAGGTCCGAATAGCGCGAGAGTAGACTGTACTTACCTGCACGTTTATCCAACATGTTACCTCCGAATACCTGCCCATAATTTGACCAGGGCCAAGCCGCGGCAATCGTCCCCAGCAGCAGAAAAGTGTACAGAATGCTCAAAATAGGCCGCATGATGATGGTCGTCGTGGAGGATACCAAGCGATTAGAAGAAGATGAATCAGGAAACTGGTAGGAAAGCGAAGATCCCCCTGATCGGAAAAGAGAGCCGAATCAACAACCCCTTGCACCGATTGACAGTGTGGATATCGTTTTTGTTGGGGATCGAAAGACTGCTGCCCACGTCCAAGGGAAAACCGGCAAACCTTCTTTGGCTTGGCAAGGATACCTGTGAAGCGGTTTGCCGTAGAGACAAGCGACCTAGAAGATGTAGAGGAGGAAAAACCGACACGCCGGACGATCTGGTGGACCCTGAATTCCGTCGATCACCGGAGAATGAGCTGTTTGTGTGGGGAAACAAAAGGCCTCAAAGGCCAACGAACTTCAAGCAAAACCAGCAGCGAACGATGCAGTCAAACGAGCGACATGAGCAAGAAGTGAGAGATGGTTCAAAGCAGAGTTTGTGAGGAGGAAGAAAAGGGTGTTTGAAATGTATTGCGGGGCTAAGCCCAAACTGGCCATGGTGGCTGTCAAGGCATGTGAGACATCGGGCCTATTTATAACACCATCCACTGAACAACTGATCAGGCCTACATACCCTGATTTCTTGTTCGAATATGTCTTCAAATTCAAGTTTGGAATCTCATATGACTTTGTTCATCTACCTTGAAAGGGGGGTATTGAACCCTGAAAACCCTAGGGATTATCCCCTCATCGCAAGACCCTGGTGACCCGCTCTCGGCAAAAATACTACAAATCAATCAATCAATTCGAGACTCTCCATATCGTCTCAATATTAGATCACAGATTTATTCCAGGGGCTCTCATCTACACTATTCTTGGGGTCTTTGGCTTATGCGGCAGGGCAGTCCTAGACTTGGCTGAGGTTTATCAGCTTATGTAATTCAATCTTGCCATCAGCATTGGAAGGTTGCATTGTATAGCCTGAGAAAGTCGCCTCACTTACACATTTTCATCAACTGTCGAACTCTGCCTCCACTATTAACTGAACCCAACAAGTTTAGCTTTTTGATTCCTGCTCAGGTATCTTACCATTTTTTTTTTTTTTTTTTTTTTTTTTGAAATTGGACCGTACATGCCAGTGACGCCACTTTAGGAGTGTTCAGTTCATACATAAGGCGAGAGGCGTGTTTTAAACATTCTTCGTGCGAAATTTACTTTTGGTCACAAACCTAAGGTAGGAATGAGTGTGTGGTTTCCAAAGGGTTAAGGAAGATTTGATATGACAGTTTTCGTATTGAGCGAGCACAGTTGAACTATCTCCTGAGTCCTGGGGGGAATTTATGACTAGTCTATATACGTGGTCTTCCTTCGACTCGACTTCTTTGCCATTGCGAGTGCTTTCTTCGAAGACAGTAGGGAGGGATGTTTTTCATCAAGCGTCCTCTGTTTTATCGCAACCACGTGCTTGAGGATCTGCACGGCCTCCTTAAATTGTCCATTTCGATGATACGCTTTTCCGAGGGCATGCTGAGACCCCAGTCGGTTATTATCTTCTTCGCCAAGCGTGTTCTCTCGTACCTCAACCACATGCTCGAGTTTTCGCACGGCTAGCTTGCTCTGACCGTTGGATCGATAGGCTACAGCGAGTAAATGCTGGGACGATAGTCGTTTGGAATCCTCTTCTTCAAGCGTCCTATCTCGTACCTCAACCACATGCTCAAGGATTTGCACAGCTATCTCACTCTGGCCGGCTGATTGGTGTGCTTTTCCGAGATCATGCTGGGACGACAATAGTTTAGGATCTTCTTCATTAAGCGTCCTCTTTCGCACCCTAACCACATGCTCGAGGGACTGGATGGCTAGGTCGGCCTGGCCGGCTGATTGGTATGCTTTTCCGAGATCATGCTGGGACGATAATAGTTTACGGTCTTCTTCGTTAAGTGTCCTTTTTCGTACCTGAACCACATGCTCGAGGAACTGGATGGCTTGCTCAATCTGGTCGCTTGATTGATAAGCCTTTGCGAGTACGTGCTGGCAGGATAGCCGTTCAGGGTTGTCTTCATGTAGTGTTCTCTTCCGTATCATAACCACGTGGTCGAGGAGCTTTATAGCCTCCTTAATCTTGCCGTCTGATTTATATGCCTTTGCGAGTGCGTATTGGGACGACACTAGATTAGGATCTTCTTCGTGAAGCGTGTCCTCTCGTATTTTGGCCACATGCTCGAAGATCTTGATGGCTCGCTTGATCTGGCCGTCTGACTGGTATGCCTCTGCGAGGGCCTGCTGGGACCCTAGTCGATCATGGTGTTTTTCATCACACTTTCTCTCTTGTACCCTGACCACGTGCTCGAGGAGCTTCACAGCGTCTTTGATCTTGCCGTTTGATCGATACGTTAATGCGAGTGAATACTGGTATGCTAGTAGAAAGCGATCCTTTTCATCGGCCGTCTCCTCTAGTATTGCAACTCCACGCTCGAAGATTTGCAGCGCTAGCTTACGCTGGCCATCTAATTCATATGCCTCTGCAAGCGCATGCTGGGACAATAGTCGATCAGTGTGTTGTTCCTCATCGTGTTGACTCTTCTGCCACATAGATACTTCTTCAAACAATCCAATAGCCTCTTTTGCTCGACTTTCAGCCATGGCGCAGCCTCCGGCCTTAGCAAGTAAGCTATATCTCTCATTTGTACCCTTGCTTTCACATCTATGAATAAGCTTGAGGGTGTGCGGTAGGTACGTTCTCCAGACCTCACGGCAGGTAAACTCATCAGAGGGGAAGCAGTCATCCATATGCTGAATCGCCTTCTGAATAACCTGTTGTGTATGGCCAGCCTTCTCTACCCACTGCCGTGTTGAGAGCTGAACCAAACCATGCATATCCAATTCCTTTCCATCATCTCTCCTGGTCAAAAATGCGTAGTCCCATAATGTTCCAATCGCAAATTCTGTGTTTTCTTCTGACTTCAGTAAAGGAAGCATTGATCGTGGAATTGCCTTTGGTTCAATATAGGACAAGAATTCCAACAACTCTGCAGCATCGGGCTCAGAATTCTTGATTCGTTCAAATGAAATGATAAAAGTTGTGGTAATAGCGTTATCCTTTGAAGGATATCGAGTGCAATCAAAGAATTTCCTGCTCGCGAGATCTGCTCGATTCTTTTCCGTCTTATGCATGAGCTTGAGATATTGTGAGATCGTTATACCAGTACGGCTAACATAGAACGCCGCCTGTGTGATAGCAAGAGGTAGGTAATGAAGCTCCTCTAGTAATTGAGTAGTGGACTCTTCGCAGAGCAATTCTTCACGGACGATCTTGGCAATAAAAGCCTTACCCTCTGTTAACGCCATCTTGTCGAGCTCGACTATGTCCTTTGTTGCAAATGTCACCGCTACCTCACGGTAACAGGTAGTGAGCAAGGTCACACCGTTCTCGCTGGCTGGGATGAACTGGTAAAGTTCAGTGATAAGTAAGTCGTGGTCATCGGCATTGTCCACGATGAAAAGCCACTTCCCAGCTGCATTCGATCTGAGGTAGTGATGGACTAATTCCCTAGCACTTTCGCTTGCATCTTCTGAACGTTGTTGGATTCCAACCTCCTTCACGATCTGCAAACACGCTTGCTCAAAGCTCTGCAAACTATATGCGGGAACCCAAAATATAGAGAATTCGGGCCTCGCTTTTTTAACCCAATGCGCAAATTGAAGAGCGACTTGAGTTTTGCCGATGCCACTTAATCCGAAAAGCGCTAATTTTTGAGTGTTCGCCTGGATAAAAAGCCTCTGTTGGAGTTGTTCAAGCGTGGTTTCTCGGCCGGTAAAGTGACGTTTGTCTAAGGATGGAACAACAAAGTATCGGAATTGGTGATCTGATATGATAATGGGTACTTAGTTTGGTATCCTGCGGCGGGATTTTGAAGAGTCGTCGTTGGTGAATTACCTGCTTTTGTCTCAGTCTTGATCTCTGACCTTGCGTTTACATTAGCATTCGTAAGACTGCGTTCACTTCTCAGATAAGAAGAATCACCTCTCGATCTCTTCCACGGGCAGGTAGCAAATTAACGCCCGTGCATAAGCGGCCGCCACTGCCGATGCGTACGCGTGCCATACATCGTTTTTATGCGAGTCGCAATAGTCGGAAATTCCACGGATAACCAGGCATGGAAAGCCTGTGAGAGCCCCAGCTGCTTCCATCTCGAAACAGAGCACACTATGCTCCCGCGCTAGCTCATCTCGCTGCTTAGCATTCTTCATGACCAGCTCCCCAGACGCTATTGTGCCTCTATGTACTACGACCCAAGACTCTTCTTCTTCGTCTGGTATTCGCTTGATGCGCTGTTCCTGCGGACAGGCACTTTCTTCGCAGGAAACATCTTTCACCTGGTGTTCACAGTCTGGGTGGTAGAGATGATCGTTTTCAGCCCCTGGAAACTTAAAGCGACTATTAATTCGGCGCTTGGTTTGAAACCTCTTCAAATTGGTCCAAATCGGGTCGTAGTCCATTCCTTCACGCTTCACTTGCAGAACTCGTGCAGCGCTGAGAAGAGCTTGTGGTGGGGGACTAAGACAACCTGTGCGTTCAAATTGGCCTGTCTTCGATTTTCCATGATCATACTGCACCACTCCGGAGTGTATTCCTGTCGGATCACTAACCACCACATGCCCGAGGCGGATCATTCCATGCCGTGTCTTTACAGGTACACCACCCCCAATGCCCACTAATAAAACGTACTTGAGGGACGAGAATGCCATCCTCATTTGAGCGATAACACTGGCGGCAAAACAGTTCCCTTGACCAGGAAGGCCAGCGATCACAATGTTTTGCTTATTTATACTGCCAAGGATGTACACATTCTCATCCCCAGGTCGTAGTGGTAGCCCTTCATGTTCCTCATCTAACATTTGCATTGCCGCGATTTGTTCCACCTCCAATGGACAGATCCATCCCACTCGATACGCATCGTGCCTCAATCGTTGCGGCATCTCCGCTCGCTCGTAGTTATTCAAGAAAATGAGGTTCGCAAAGCCTCGGTTTTCGCAATCATTCAGTTGGTATATAGAGTGTTCACAAATTTAGGCGAGCGAACATTTATTCAACAAGGTAGGGAAAAGCAATGAGGCTCCAGTGGAATATGACGGCAGAGACATCTTGTCCTCAGCCTCAACATGAAGAGAGGGGTAGTACTAAAGTACCAAAGTACGCGCCTAGTACGTTTCAGAGTGATTGGCCAACGAGGCACTTTTAACAGTCGTAATGTGCTAAGGTGACGAGTTTGCATGAGCCTTTCCTGTCTATTGGTCGCCGAGCTGTGACTAGGCTGTACAGCCAGCCGGTGGATTTCCAGATGGGGCTTAGGCAGCCGGGCACGAAGCTGCCCTATTCGATGAGCCCTGGAGGCAGACTTCACGTTCTCTCTTACCATCTATGACTCTGTCTAAATGTACCCATTCTATGTATAGAAACGCTCCTTGGCCATGAAAAATAAATATTCTACTCAGGATTATCTCTCATCCTCCAAGGTCTTACTTCGGCCACCAGGAAATTGCTTTTCCAGATAAGGCCTCTCCTCGTCTTCTCACTTTTCCATGAAATGACTGACACTATCACAGAGCCGAAAATAAATCTACTTATGTAGATATATGTGCTCAAATCAGATAATAAAATAAAGCCTGTCAAGATGCGACGCTATTGGTATCCCAGTTTTCAAGGGTGAGCGAGTGCCAATCGAAGATCAACCAGGAAATCTGAAGAATTCCCAATCACAAACAATCGAGAAATCTCATGGAAAGGTATCGAATTTGGCGTTACATCTGTATAGTTCAAAGAAGTTATTATTGTGGGGGAGCAGATATTTACCCATAATCAGCCACCCCGAGGTCTGTGGCACAACAAACTTTAACCTCAGCGATCAAGCATTTATTTAAGGTTACAGGTAGGCAGATCTTTACGTAGAAAATGAACATATTATCATTAAACTCCAGTCTAACCAATATTTAACCAGGATCGCAGTAAATGTACAGTCGTGAAAATAGCCTCTTTTTCATCATAATCGAGGAAGATCGAAAACAATACCATCGCAAACTCAAGAAACGCCCCCTATCCTGAAATCCTAGAATTTTAGGAGGAAGCCTTGAGCTCGACGGTATCACACCCGGTGTAGCTGCCAGTCTCGGCAAGGTTGACATAGTAGAGGGCGCTATCAGTGCAAGCTAAAAACACCAGTCAGCCTGGGGTTTGAAACAAAGAATCGAATGTTTCGGAGAAGAAACAATGGAACTTACCAAGCCAGCCACCCCAGTTCTTGTTCGAGGTCTCCAGGTCGCCATCACTGGCAAAGCTGAATCCTGTGCTACCGGTCGTGGGGCTCACGCTCACTTCAACGGGAGCCTTACGATCTAAGATTGGATCTGTCAGTTTACCTTGGGAACAAAAAGTGGCGAACGAGCCAAGGTTGAAGGGTAACTTACCATCCTCGGAAACGAGTGCAAGGGCCCACGGTGCGCCGTTCTCCGCTTGGTACCGCACGGTGCCGTTCGAAAGGTAAAATGAGGCTGCGTCACTCGCACCACCAGTAAACACCGCCAGACTATTGAGAGGGCCGGTAGACTTGGTGGTGAGGTACAGGTCGTTCAGACTGCTGTTGGATGCGCCCGTGGTCTGCAGGCTGAATGTTTTGGTGGCAGGGCCAGCAGAGGCGGTGGCGGCGAGGAGAGCCAGAGTAGCGAGGAACTTCATTTTGGCTGTGATTTGATGATGATAAGAGATACCTTTTTTGCGAGAAATAAAGAGAAAGAACGGGTTCAACTGGAAGTAATGATAATTAGGAGTTAATAAACCCAAGATGGGGGCCTGAGATATTTAAGCCTGAAAAGGTGCTGGGGGTTGGAAAAGCTGGGAAATCGTGTGGAGAAACCCGCCACCGAGTGGGTGAACTTGTGAGGATCCACGATCGTGGGTTCCTTGGGCTGGAGATTTTTAGTGCGAAGCGGGCAGTTCTGTGGTTGGTACTACATAATACTATTGTTTCGATGAGATCTGCAATTCTCTCCCTGACTTCACAGTACAGATGATCGAGTTCGTGCATCTTTTGAAACTGCATGTCCCACCTGCATCGTCAAAGTCGAGTCAAGGGAATCTACCCACGGCCTTTTGCATTAGTCTCGCTAGTGTCGTACAGCGTAGCTCGTCTGCTTGATCTGTTTCGTTTAAATGGGCAGCTTTCTCCAGTGAGTGGAGTATGGGCATTTGCCCCAGTCACTAGCTTCTTGGCCAGCCACCAATCACAGTGAAACACCTTTGACGATCATCTCCACTTTGGGGAAGAGAAACAAGAGCACCCGAAACGGATGTCATTAGGAAGCTTTGAAGCTCGAGGCGATTGATATCAGATTGCCTAAAATAGCAAATCATTCTAAAAGTGCATTCACAAAAGAATAAAATGATAGAATATGTTCAAGTACGAAGTACTCGGTGGTACTGTATGTAAGAAAAGGTCCAAATCGAGGATAGGCAACCAACTACGTAACCATGGATTTTGCCCGCAGCACCAGACCCCTGAACCCTTAGATTGTACTGATGTGATTGACCCACAGAATTTCCAAGTTACCCTTGGAAGTGCTGAGGATTTCTAGCACGAGCCGTGTGATATTCATGTTTCCATTTCGATCATGCCCATGTCCCATGGACAAATGCGATCATGTCCGAGGGAACCCCGGGTGGAGCAAACCGAATGGAAGATGCAGCAATGAAGATTGGAGGCGAGCATAGCCGGTGCCTTCCGAGCGGGAATGAATGGGCAGAATGCTCTCGAAATAAGCAGGCTGACACTACAGTACAGTACAGTAGTAGGCTAGTAGCTCAAGGGTCTTGGGGCGCAAGGGACTGTCTCACAACCAACATCCTTACACTTTGGAATATCATTCGCAAGTCTCAGCGTTGTACAAAGCATTTGTCCTAGCATTGGAGGTATAATTACATAAAATCAGAATGGCATTCTACCTATCTGATCATACTACAATTGATGAAGGGCTTAGCCAGTAAATCACAAACCACGGCCCCTCGTGCTTGGGCTTGGACTTCACTGGACTCGAGGCGGAGAGACCCTGATTCAGCTTTTGACTGGCAGATTGTCACCGCTTTAGTACAGTAATCATGTGATGAGTCATCCGGTCTGGACAGGGCAACTAAATAACTTGACTAGCTAGCTACATAACTATCTTAAACTCTAGGCTAGAGTCCTGGTATTGGAAAACATACGGTCGAATTTTGCAATTAGTAATAAGAGCCACAGCGTCTTGATAGAAGTGAAGTTTGAAATACTGTGACTAGACCACGGCTTGTCCAGATCCTCATACACCCCAACGACGTATGAATCATGATCAATAGATAAATAAATGGGCAAGGCAATGGGCAATAAGCGAAGGTGATAGAAATCGAATGAATGTTATAAACATTTGAAGGAGCCAGATCGGACTCTTAGGCATTCAGGCTGCGACACTTTGGCAACGCTTTGGCAGTTGGGTATGCAATGACGCGACGATCCTGGGCGACACGTCGCCGAGGAGACCACAATCCTCCAGTCGTGAGATCACCAAATTCAATAGATCCATTTCACTCTATGTTGTACAGCGTAATTTCATAGCGTAGAATCACTCGGACATGCATCTCTGACCAATGCTTCATGACGATCGTTTTGCCTGTCAAAAGTTAGATCGAGATTGAGAGTTCGAGAGAAAGACCTCCACTTCCCACAACTTACCCTTCTCCCTCCCCTCCATCTCCACAGATGATCTGTGGTTTTTGATGTGTTGGAGCTTTGGATTTTGGTCATCTTGACAGGTTCCCTCTCTTTTCTTCTTATATTCTACAACTTTAGGGGGTTTCCACCTTTAGCTCTCTTTGACCCCCAAAACCACATTCTGTGACTACGTCGGTGGCAGACCCGCCCCCCTCCAATTTCTCATTCCTTCTCATACGGAGTTCTTGAGACTTCGATGATGAGGCGTTGCGAAAACTAACATCCACATCCCCCCAATCGCTTATTTCGCAGGGACCTGTGGTCCCCTTGCGATCGCGCTTCTCGCGTGTGTTGTGTCTGATTTCCCCTCCCGCACTCCCCACGCAATCCCCCCCGATCGCATTGTGGCTGCCATACGGTACACGACAACGCCCAATTCTCCCATTCTATTTTACCCCAACTCTCCAGAATTCCGAACGTCATAGAGTCGTGACTTCTCGTCCAACATGGATTCTGGATGGCAACCCTATCAGGATCCCCTGATGGGCCGTCCCGCGCAGTTCAATACCGGATTGGCTGCCCATCCCCAGCAAGCCTCGAAGTACGGTCAGCCACCACAGTCACAGCCCCCCGTCGGATACACCTACGAGACATTTCAAACTCCTGGCACTTCGTCCAAGGCCCCTTCCACCGGCCCAAACTCCAAACCGGTATCCATGGCCTCGTCTCCTACCGCCACGCCACGTAGTCGGGATTATGTCACCGATGCCGATACCACCATGGAGGACGCCGACCCCTACAACCGCGCCAAGTACCCATCGAGGCCAAATCATCACAGTCGCGCCTCGTCCCAATTTCTTGCGCAGACTGAAGAATCCTCGGCCGCTCGCAGGTACTCGCCGATGAACGCTCTGTCGCCGCCCATGTCATACCCAACGAGCCCCGGGAAGCAGGGCTCCGGCTCATACTTCTCGCCCTCGTCAAACCAGTCACGACGGTCGCCGGGTCGAGCGGGAGACTACTCGTCTCCGCCGCAGGGCTATCAATCGCCGCCTTGTGAGCGATCATTTTGTCCTGTTGCACATGAGTCTCTGTGTGCTAACCTATAACTAGCGAATCGCCCCCCTAAACTTCCCCCCCCTCCAAGCGTCCGACCTCAGTCCCGATCAGTACTATCCACCTTCCGCGGGCTCTCACCTTGGGAGTGCATTTGCGCCTGAAAATCGATCCCCACGTTCCGGCTCCTTGCCGTCCCAAGTTCCGGGCCGAGGTCCAGTTCCCAAGTTCAAGAAGGTCGAGTCGGTGCAGAGTCTCAAGGGTCGGGTTCACGACCAGCCGGCTTATCGACGGGCAAACCCAGAGGGTGGCTTCATCAGCGTTCGTGGCCTGCCATTTTTCCTTCGTCGACTTGTCAGCTTACCTTTTACAGCCACTTCATGCCTTGACTAGTCACCTCCCCGCGACCTATCGTATTTGCAACCCGAACTTCAACTACGAGTCATCCAGAAACCCGCGCCGAGTTTTGACAAAGCCTAGCAAGGGTACCAAGAATGATGGCTACGATAACGAGGACAGTGACTATATTCTCTACGTGAACGACATTCTGGGCAGTGAGGAGGCCGGTCACAAGTATGCTTTCTGGGTCCCGTTATCACCGGATTTATAGGTCTAAAGGTCTAATTATTGCCTCGCAGGAATCGCTACCTTATTCTCGATGTATTAGGCCAGGGCACCTTCGGTCAGGTCGTGAAATGTCAAAACCTGAAAACCCAAGAGGTTGTGGCGGTTAAGGTTATCAAAAATAAGACCGCCTATTTCAACCAAAGCATGATGGAAGTCTCCGTCTTGGATCTGGTATGCAATTACATCCCCGGCAGCTAATATTGATAGCATGCACTAACTCTACTGTCTCGCAGTTGAATAGCAAATACGACAAGAATGACGACCATCATCTCCTTCGTTTGAAGGACACTTTCATCCATCGCCAGCATCTTTGTCTTGCATTTGAATTACTCAGCGTTAACCTTTATGAGCTCATCAAGCAGAACCAGTTCCGAGGACTGAGTACAACACTTGTCCGTGTGTTTGCGCAACAGTTATTGAATGCTCTCAGTCTCTTGAACAAGGCCCATTTAATCCACTGTGATCTGAAACCAGAGAATATCCTCTTGAAGAAGTAAGTCGAGAGAACCCCACCTCACCTTTGATACCCCCCTTCTTACTGATGTTCGTACAACCGCTACAGTCTTGAAAGCCCAATCATCAAGGTCATCGATTTCGGCTCTGCGTGCGACGAACGCCAGACTGTCTACACATATATTCAATCACGGTTTTACCGTTCACCAGAAGTTCTGCTTGGTCTCCCGTATGTATCCCCAGTCTCTCATTTCTCCCTCTATGAGCTCTTCCGCTGACTGGACTAGGTATTCATCTGCAATCGACATGTGGTCTCTTGGATGCATTGTCGTCGAGCTCTTCCTGGGGTTGCCTCTGTTTCCTGGCTCTTCCGAATATAATCAAGTCTGTCGAATTGTCGACATGATGGGTTTGCCTCCAGCATGGATGTTGGAGATGGGTAAACAATCGGGCGAATTCTTCGAGAAAACGCAGGACGAATTTGGGCGAAAGACCTACCGTCTCAAAAGTCTGGAGCAATACTCAAGGGAGCACAATACCAAGGAACAACCCAGCAAGAAGTACTTCTCTGCCTCGACACTGGAGGAGATTATTCGAAGCTACCCCATGCCGAGGAAAAATATGAAGCAGAATGAGGTCGAGCGAGGTAAGTTTCCACTTGGTTTCATCTTGAAGGCCAGGTGTCTAATCATCGTGCAGAGTTGAACAACCGCGTTGCCTTCATTGATTTCGTGCGCGGTCTCCTGTCCATCAATCCCCTTGAGCGATGGTCGCCCCAACAAGCCAAACTGCACCCATTCATCACACAACAGAAGTTCACTGGTCCATTCGTTCCCCCAATGAATTTGAAGTACGCAACTATCAATAAGACCGTTGCTCCAGGTGTCCAGCAACAGCAACAAGCGGAAGCTACTAGCAAGCAGAGAGCAGCTCAAGCAGCGCAGGCACAGTCTGTGCAAGCACAAGCTGCGTACCCGGTGCAAATGAATCCATACCAACAGGCCCATGCTCAGGCCCCCCCGCCTCCCCCCCATGTACAATGGAATGTATCAGCAGCAGGGTGGAGTTCCGCCGCCGCCTTACCCCACACAGCCTCCTGGGTATACTAGCCATCAGATGGGTATGATTCCAGGTGGAACCCCTGGTCAAATTCCCCAGCCGCAATATGGTCCAGGACAGAGTCTATATGCCCAAGCAACAACGCGGGCTGGTCGACAACGTGCATCAACCATGGATCCACAAGGTGGCATTCCTCCGACGATCCAACGTGTGGCGAGCCACCTTGATCCCAATGCTCCGATTCGCTTACAGCCTAGCCCTGCTTACTATCCACCTCCTCCCGATGGTTACGTGGACGCCAATGCTCAACGTCGTCGTGGTAGCCGGACCGGAGGAACCAGCAATAGCAGTAGCAATGGCAACGGCAGTGGGAATCAAAGAAATCGAGACTTTATCCGCACCCTTGAAGATGGGGTTCTGGGTGAAAGTTATATGGGCCAAAACCAGTGGCACTAAAAAGGGCCGGGATAGGCACCTCAAAGGACAAACGTGTTTATATGGTGTCTGAGAATCTGGTTTACTGCTTGCAATGTTTTTTCTACGCAGTCAAGCATCCACGCGCCTGGTGCGTGCGCCCTTGCTGGAACGTTGTTCCAATGCCTTGCCGTGTCTTGTGGAACTTTTGCTTGACTCATCCACCCCCCTCTCGTCCCACGAGGCTTCCACTAACGGTCTCCAGCCTGACATTGTGTACCTTAGCCTGAGTCATTGCTTGACGGGCACTTTGAGTTGGACCATGTGGTCTTGAGTCACAAGTGACATAGATCTGAAAGTGGACATCAGGGCTGAGGGGGCGCGATCGAAACAATGCTTTTTCTACTTTTTTCCTGATGTAGCGTTGTGTCGAATCCCACGGTGACATGCACCAGGATGCAGTGACCGAAAGTTACGATTCTGTATGTACTGGGCCATGATCAAATCGCATCGCCACTTTGATTTCCTTTGCTATGTTTGTCCTGCAAATGATTTGGTGCGCTCGGGTCTATTACACCCGCGACTCTGCTGCAACTTTTTTTTTCTCCTTTGTTCATTTATGTTTAACCTCTGTTTCTTCTTTCGGCATAGCCTGGAGTATGAAAGAACGACTTCACTCACCCCGTTTCCCCCTTCCCATACTCGCTTGTCTCAGTAAGCTTTGATTTCCTATGGCTTTGCTTAGCGAATGACGCTGTTCGTTTTCATCTTCTTTAATTTTGTACTTAAGATACATGATGCGTCATATGGTGGCTTCAAGGGTTATGTGTCAATTATGTTAGGTTCGGGGGAGCCCTTGATGTGGGATTTGGATGCAAGTGTTGATGAGCAGATACCATGACCTTTCTCAGGGAAAAAGCAATACATACAGAGCAGTACGGATTTCAGGTTTTCATTCGGTGTCATCTGTGAAAATGTTCTACATTTGTAGTTGTAGATGTTTTGAAGGGAGCGATTGGGGACACTAGTCCCGATTGGGCATAGTCAACCCCTCGCTTAAATTTCGTGTGTGGCTCTCACCCGGATCATCAACTCCAAGTTTTAAAGGATCTGCCTTTACGCCTTCGAGCACCCGGATCACCACGTTTTAAATCCGCAAAGATGCCGCCGCCGCCGCCGAAGCCCAAGTCACGATTCTTTGACGGCAATAGCTCGTCTTCGGAGGACGATTCGGAATACGACGAAGATCGTTCTTCTGATGAGGAAGACAGCGATGCCGAGTCCGGCAGCGATTCGGGTTCCGACTCTGGCAGCGAGTCCGACGGCGAGGAAAGCACCGGTGGTGATGGCTTCGACTTCCTGAAGAGTGATGACGAAAGCGAGGAAAGCGAGGATGATGAGAAGGTCACGATTGTTAAGAGTGCCAAGGACAAGCGTCTGGAGGGTCTTGAGAACAGCATGCGCCTGATTGAAAATGCTCAGAAGATCAACGACTGGGCCGTCATCTCGACTGGTGAGTCCATTCAAGACGACTTAAACGGCTTTATATGAAGGCCGCCCCTGCGGGGCTAGACCGGGGGAGGGGTCACCAAGCCTTTGGACCGAATGCTAATAGAGGGTTTTCACAGAGTTCGACAGCCTTAACCGCCAGATCGTCAAGGTCAACCAGTCCGGCCCTACCCCTCGCCTTTATGTCAAGTTCGTCGCCGACCTCGAGGACTTCGTCAACGAGGCCGTCGCCCAGCAGAAGTCCTCCAACAAGAAGATGAACGCAAGCAACCAGAAGGGATTCAACGCCGTCAAGCAGCGTATCAAGAAGAACAACAAGGATTATGCTGCTCAGATCGACAAGTACCGTTCCGATAAGGATGCCTACATGCTGGCCGATGAGGAGGAGAAGGAGAAGCCCGCACCCACTCCCGCCCCCAAGCCCAGCAAGGCTGAGAAGATTGAGAAATTCATTCCCCAGGCCAAGGCTGATGATGATGGATTTGCTACCGTTGGACGTGGTGGCAAGACCCTGCAGTACACCCCTGAGAGCATTCTCAAGCACCTGCGTACCATCGTTGAGTCTCGCGGAAAGAAGAACACTGACCGCTCTGAGCAAATTCGCACAATGGAGAAGCTCATTGAGGTTGCCACCACCCCTTACCAGCGCATTCGTATCTACCTCACCCTGATCTCCACCCGTTTCGATCTTTCCACCACTTCTTCCGCCACCTACATGAGCGCTGAGCAATGGAAGAGCGCCGATCAAGAATTTGGCGCCCTTCTGTCCGTTCTGGAGCAGCACCGCAACTTCATTGTTAGCGATGGTGCCGATGAGTGGGAGGATGACGAGAAGCAACCCCAGGTTGCTGAGGGAGAGACATTCTACATCCCCGGCAGCATTGTTTCATACATTGAGCGTCTGGATGACGAGCTCACCCGCTCGCTCCAGCAGATCGACCCCCACACTGCTGAGTACATTGAGCGTCTAAGCGATGAGCAGCAGCTGTACACCAACATTGTCCGCACTCAGATGTACGCAGAGAGCCTCAACGCCGTTGAGAAGAACGAGGCCCGTCAGGACGGTGTCAACCGAGTGGTCATCCGCCGCTTGGAACATGTCTACTTCAAGCCCTCCCAGGTGGTCTCCATCCTGGAGGACGGCTCGTGGAAGGCTCTGCCTGAGAACCTCGACTCTGCCATTACTTCCCGTGCTCAGGCTGGTGATGTTTCGGTTCTCATTCAAACTGTCTGCAACTACCTGTTCCAGAACAGTGACGGTATTATTCGTGCTCGCTCGATGTTGTGCCAGATTTACTTCCTTGCTCTGCACGACCACTACTACCGCTCTCGTGATCTGATGCTCATGTCCCACCTGACTGAGAACATCGCCAACTTCGATGTGAGCACCCAGATTCTCTTCAACCGCACTCTTGTTCAGATCGGTCTGTGTGCTTTCCGTGCTGGTCTCATCTATGAGGCTCAAAACACCCTCGGTGACATCTGTGGTAGCGGCCGTCAAAAGGAGCTGCTCGCCCAGGGCATCATCCTCCAGCGGTACTCAACCGTTACCCCCGAGCAGGAGCGTCTGGAGCGCCAGCGCCAGCTGCCCTTCCACATGCACATCAACTTGGAGCTGCTCGAGTGTATCTACCTGACCTCCAGCATGTTTCTTGAGGTTCCCCTCATGGCCCAGACCTCTTCCGCCCCAGAAATCCGCCGCCGCATGATCTCCAAGACCTTCCGCCGCATGCTCGACTACAACGAGCGCCAGGTGTTCACCGGTCCCCCCGAGAACACCCGTGATGGTGTTATCATGAGCGCCAAGTTCCTTGCCGCCGGCGAGTGGAAGAAGGCCGCTTCCATGCTGTCCTCCATCAAGATCTGGGATCTGATGCCGCAGCCCGAGAAGATCAAGGAGATGCTGTCCCAGCAGACCCAAGAGGAGGGTCTGCGCACTTACCTCTTCACCTACGCTCCCTTCTACGACAGCCTGTCCATCTCCTCCTTGGTCGACATGTTCGAGCTGTCCAACAAGAAGATCACCGCCATCATCAGCCGCATGATCTCTCACGAGGAACTCGGCGCCGCTCTCGACCAGGTCAACGATGTTATTGTCTTCCGCAAGGGCGTCGAGCTCTCCCGTCTCCAATCCCAGATCGTCACCCTGGCCGACAAGTCCATGGGTCTCCTCGAGTCCAATGAGAAGACCCTCGAGCAGCGCACTCAAGGTATGGCCAACGCTTTCCAGCGCGAATCAGGCCCCGGTGCCCGTGGCCGTGGTCCCCGTGGTCCCAACCAGGCTCGCGGTGGTCCGCGACTGCCGAACAACCAGCAGGGCCGGAGACCTGGTGGTCAGCAGTTCGGTGGTGGTGCATTGGGTGGTGCAATCAAGGCTTGAATAAAGATTTTCTGATTTAATGGCATGCCTATTCTTCTCTTTTTATTTTTCTTTTTCCTCGTCTTCCTTTTCCTTGTCATGGTTCCCCTTGCCTTTTCTTATGCCGTTTCCGAACGCGAAGGAAATCCCTCGTGTCAGTTCAACGACTCAAAATGAATGAATATAAATGGTTAGAAAGCATTTGCTATTTTCTCATGTAGTGAGGCTCTTATGGGCTCTGTAATCTGCATACTTTCACATCAATCACTGCATACTTTCACATCAATCACTGCACACGTCAAATGAAAACCTCAGTAACAGGGCCACTGAGCCTCCTCGATCTTCTCGTAGCCTGAGCACTCTCAACATGGGACCTGTCAAAGTACATCCCTCACCCGGGGCCTGCCACTATGTATCTGTGCAATACTGAAGTCTTCAATTGCTATCTCCCTTACACTTTGTAATCTCACCCCAAAACTAACTAACACATACCAGGGCTTCGTTACTCACTACTTTCAGTGTAACTTTTTCACGCATAAGTGTATGTTCCATCAAAGTTTGTTTCTTCTGCCTACTACATATTACAGTAATTCAAACCGATAAGTTTAACCTCGACATTGGTCAACATGTGATTTACATACGTCAGGTCACCGATGTACTAGAATGTGAAATCTTCCCACACATATATAATGTCTGTCTTCCGGCTGATTCCATTGCTGGATCACGACGACTCCTAGGCTGACTATTGTAGATTTCCAGACCATAAAACATAGTGGGCTTTTTTAGACAAAGAAGCTACATATTTGATTTGACACACAAGTCAGTACTCAAGCTAACATATGCTCAAGCTCTGGAGATTGGTTAAAATACAGACATAGTCTTCCAGTTTTCTTCCTGGCCAGACTGGAAATGTAGACTACGGATTTTCAGGTTGTCCTCGCAGTGAGGGTATATTTGGTTCAGCATGACATATCTAGGTATTGAAACGCCGGTTTGTACATGCAAGGACTACTATGATCTACACAAACAAGTAACCATCTCAATTTTGAACATTTTTTGGGCCTTGGGAGCTTTCTCTGTTTTCTTTTCTTATTCAGGGTAGGATATATATCCGCGGATGTTGGATATGGCTCCGCCATTTTGAGATTCCAGATACCGATGTACATATCTTCCAAACCAAGGTTCAGGTCCGATTTTCGGATTTGGATCGGTAATACTTGGGATGATTATAGGTTGAAAATAGTATGTCTTGCTCAAGATATGTAGTCTGACTGTGCTCCCGACTCAACGTAGATTCCAATGATCTTAACCAAATGTATCATGAACACTTTCAGGCATTTTCAATCGGTGGATCATCATTCTTGAAATTGAATAATCCATACATAAAGCTAACATTTGGCTTTTGATCGAGACCTCAGATTGACTTGATCTTCGAAATACACATAAGCTATTGAATATTGGTGTGGTTAAACACAAGCATTGCGGGCAATCTTGGACAATGGAGTTATTCAGCAGTCACCTTGACTAAGACTAGCTGCGGAAATCTCGAATGCCCAGGTGTCCTCGGTCTCTACAATTATCTCTTTGACTATCAAGATAGTTGTGGTAATAAAAAAGAAAAGAGAATGGGCCCAGGGGTGGTAAGAGTGTAGACAATAAAGTGTGTACCATGTCCAACAGTCCTGGAGATGTCGGCCTAGAGCTCAAGGCAGAATGGATCCTCACAGAAAATTTTCATGAAAAGTTTGGGTCCGAGCCTGAAAAATGGCCCAGTGCTTGTACAATTACACTCGACCGCTTTATCTACCGCCCACCACAAATAACTGAACGCTTCTACGAGTCGGTGAAAAATTGCAACTTCGTTCAACAGAAAACGGCAGAAAATACGTGATCAGGGGGCGTTTTACACTACCTCCGCCACGAACAAAGGATTTTACGAGATATGTAGACAGGCAATTGCGGGTTGACTGAAGCATTGAATTACCGGAAACCTAGACCGTATCGCTAATTGACTAAAGAAAACACAGCCCGTGTGCTAACAAACAACCCGTGACAATAACGTCGTGAAAATTTTTTGATGGAGCGAACTCCGAGAACCACCCGGTCTGCGAGAGGAACTAATCTAGTTCATCTGGCGGACAAGAGCGTTGATGTTCTCCTCGCGGTTACCGAGGTCACCACCCTGGATGTAGTGCTTGAACTTGCGAGTGCGGAAACCACCGTTGGGGTTGCTGAGCTTGAAGGGCCACAGGAAGTTGTTGGCCTGCTTGAAGTTGGGGCCAACGGTGTAGATCTCGTGGATGAGATCCTCCATGCAGACAATGCCGTACTTGCCGAGGTTCTCCTCGATGATCTGGTTGTCGGTGAGGGGAGTGCGCATCTTGTCAACCTTTCCGTAACCACGCTTGTACAGAAGCTCGCGGACGGTCTTCAGGTTGGGGTAACCGTAGGCAATGTAGGGGTTGACGATGGTCAGCATCTCCTGGGTAGCCTTGGTCAGGCGGATGAAGGTACCGCTGTTGATCTGGAGCAGACGGAGCAGCTGGAGGATCTTGCGGGGCTTGGGGGCAATCTTGTTGATACTGGAGAGATGAGTTAGCAATGAGTTTCTCGCAAACATATATGCAGTGCTTGGCTTACCCCTTGATACGGACAACGAAGACGAGCTTGGGCTCATCGTCGACGTAGAAGTTACCCTCCTGGCGGGCAGCGCGGGCCAGGCGGATCTTCTCACGCTCAGCGTTGCGGTACTCCTGAACGTAGGACTCAGCGCGCTTGAAGATAACGCCACGCTTCTCCTTGTTGGCCTATATGAATCCAAGTTAGTACAGGGAATTCATAATGCATTTGGTGATATCAAGCATGTATGGTATCAAATGTATCAGACCCGAAAGATGGTTAACAGGCGACAACATCGACCAATTGGTCTAGTCGCGTGGTTGGTGTTTTCATCATAATGATGTGCAAGGGGATGGGAGAAAACTGAGAATGGGAAAAATCTAACCTTCTTCTTCTCCTCGGCCTCAGCACGGCGCTCAGCGCGGGCAGCCTCCTGGCTCTTGCGCTTCTTGAGGAGGGTCTCGGGGACGAGGACCTGGTCCTGGGTGGGAACGGAGCTGTGTAGGTGTGAGTATAGTCCATATGAATCATGAAATTCATGAAACAATCCGCCGAGTGTAAGAACTGCAGCATATAGCGCATTCTCGACTGTAGGCAAATAATATTTTATAAAAACTCGACGAAATGTCTTTAGTCGGTGAGGGCCATGGCATTGGGGCTTTGCGTCCATGCTTCGGTAATCAGTGGCATATTCCAGCACACTTTTCGCAAAGAGAAAAATTTCTTCATCTCAAGACACCCACAGAAAATGCCACATTTGCCTTCATCCAACAACACCCCGGACAGATGCCCAGGAAATATTTGTTGATGCTCTTCGTCCGGCATGCTGACTGTTGTTTCAAACATCAAACACACTGGAAATACGATAGCTATACAACAATATTTTTCGAGGCGAAGGCTCAAAAAGCTTTCAACCTCAAGACTCCAGTAGCCCTCCACTGTCACGTCTCATCGAATAGCAACACGCATATTCCAAAGTTGTTCGAGCGAGAGGGCATAGGAAAGATCGAGCTGGTGCACACCGACCATGAAACGTTCGACGGTCGTGGCATTGCCAGCGAGAGGGACTATACCTGCATTCTCACAATCACAGAGGATTGTATCATTGAGAAGGAATCAAGGGTAATCATACGTGATAGGAGCGGCCATTGCGAAGGTCGAGTTGTCGAGAGTGGTCGGAGAAAGTTCAAACCAGGAAGGAAAGTCATGGGAGAAAAGTGAAATTCGCTTGTGTGGGTGCGGGTCGACACTAACCCAATACGGGATAGACTGCAGTGATTTACACGCTAAGCCACGTATGGACACCGTACCCTTATCACCCCGTGACTAGGGCTGGTCTTATCATCAGATGACCTTATCCGCGGCTCCACCTGTGCTCTATCTGGCTGCTCATCGACCCCTCAACCTGCCACCTTATCTGACTCTTTGAACAGCAACCATGTCGCGCCGTGGTGTTGGGCTCGGAGCCTTTGTAAACAGAAACCAGACCACTCAATCATACGCCACTCATGGCGCTAACCTCCGTTCTACGCATCTCGCCTCTCTCCAGACCCAGCTCTCCGTCTTCCAGTCGTTGTTACACACCTTTGCCTTAGAGCACAGTTCTACAATAAAGTCCAATCCTACATTCCGAGCAGAGTTTGCACGTATGTGCAACACCATAGGGGTTGACCCATTGGCTGCAAGCAACATAAAAGGAAAGAATGGCCGCCGTGGACTAGGGGAAGGAGGCAGCTTCTGGACCCAAATCCTAGGCGGGGACATGAACGACTTCTACTTTGAGGTTGCGGTCCGGGTTGTGGAACTGTGCCGAGAGACAAGAAGTGAGAATGGCGGACTAATCGGCGTCGAAGAATGTCGGAAGCGCGTTGGCAAGGGCAAGGCAATCGGTAGTGGACTAGAGGTTTCGGCGTATGATTGACCTAAAAGCTTTCCTAATGGTTTTAGCAGAAACATATGACTGATAGGCCAGCGAGATTTTAGTGATGATGTCCTTCGTGCAGTTCGATCTCTGGAACCTCTTGGGTCTGGGTTTTCCATCGTTCATGTTGGGTCCAAACAGTACATCCGATCCATTCCAAAGGAGCTCAACACAGACCAAGCGACTGTTCTCGAAGTGATCCAAGTTCTGGGGTTCGTGAGCGTCTCAATGTTACGACTTAATCTCAATTGGGAAAAGGCTCGAGCACAAACAGTGATTGACGATCTGGTTGCGGATGGTCTTGTTTGGTTGGATGCTCAGGGTCCAGAGAAAGAATACTGGTCGCCTCAGAATCTTCTTGATGATAGTGGATGAATCTTGGATATCATATCCTTGTTGATGGACTCGTTATTACCACCAGACTGGGCTAAACTCTAAACAGTCAACGTCCAAACCAAAGGACTCTTGTCCCACATTGACACCTCAAAAGACCTCTGAACAGAGATCCAATAACGCCAAAGGCTGCCCGTGTTTTACAAAACCACGGCATCCGGGTTCACATCGGGGGCTAACGGTGGATTTTGCAGACGTGGTTATTCAGAACCTCAGCATTCCGCCTTAGTGTGAACTATCTCTACTTGCAAAATGAAGGACTTGAATCTTATGCAAGTTAGCAAGGCTGTCCCAGTCCCGATTCGTATTATCGTTCTAAGACATTTTGATCATGTATATACAAGTTCATAGAGATCCGAGACGAATATAGATACAAATCAAATTTGAATCACTTCCTGTACTCTTCTGTTTCGGTCTACCACAAGGCGAAGTTGGCGACCCTGCCAGTCTGATGAAGAGGCCGTGGATGGATGGTGAACCGCAGGTTTAAAGACCCCCTCGCGAAGAGTTTCCGTGAATAGTTCGTATGACGGATAGTCTGGAGATCAACAATTAGCGCTCGACCTTGCTATGGTCAATTTGAAAGAATACGAACAGCCGTCTACGAAATGATTGACCTGCTCCTCAGTCATGCCAGTGCCCTTGGATGCACGGAGAGAACGCTCTTGTTCCTGGCGCCATTCATAGACAAACCGCGGGTTCTGAGCATCTCTGAATAGAGGAGTCAGTAAATCCTTTGGTTGAAACAATTGCGATATAGTCGAACACTTACATGTGGATCAGGGCATCGAATTTACTGCATTTTTCTGTCAGTCATACTTCTAGTGCTCACCGTCAAGAATACTTACTCAGTCAATGCATCATATCGCTTCAATGCATCGTTGACAGCTTGCACATCCTCTAACTTCACATGACCCAGTCGGCCGTCATAGTTCCCGGTCTCCTTTTGCCGCACGGCAGTCTCCCACTTGGAGCGCAGAGTCTCGTCATCCCAAGGGCGGAACCCGACACACCAGCCTTCGAAAATGACAATCTTGATTTTCTTCTGTCCTTCCTTATTTACGACTTCCCATTGCGACTCAGGCACTCGATCCCCTTGTCCGGAAAACGCAGATTTGTCATATTGCGGAATGGCAGTGGGTTGTTCGGCCGCGAGCGAAGCAAAGACCTTTTCACCCAGAGCTAAATCATGAGTAGAAGGTTGACCACGATGCTGAAGAAGCGGATTATTTGGGTGCGCCTCGGCCAGTGCAACCTGATCGGCGTGTGTAAGGTAAAGGTCGTCAAGCGACAAGGTCACGACGGAGAGCGAATACGGCTCTGAACGGAGGGTCTCCTGTAGAGTTGATACCTATGGCAATTGAAGCATAATGATTAGTACCAGTGGTGAAAGTCCGAGGGATGAAGGTTAGTCCCGGCAGCCGTTTGTCCCGAGGTCTGGGGTACTTACCAGGACGGTCTTGCCGGCACCCTGCACGCCATTGAGACCTAGAAAGAATGGCGGGGTATTACCGTCGCGATACCGGGCCGAGTGGACGTGGAGACGCTCCAGTAGAAATGGAATGCAGTGCTGCGATTTGTCGTCTATTATCGGCATTTTGGACTGGGTTGTTGTTCCATTCCATTTCGTGGGGAGCTTTGCATTTTATCGGCTACGGCATGCGGCAAGTTGTCCGATCGGCGGGAATCCGGGGTTTGACTTGGCCTTGCGGGGAATCTGTTATGCGAGGATTTGGCGTGATCTAGCGATAGGAATATGAGACTTTATACATAGAAACGCTTTGAGATAATAATTTCAAGGTTTAATATTCCATATAGTTTAAATCGTTCTATCACAGTTACTCTATAATTGATTGACGACTATGACGTTACTGGTCACATGCCTGAGTCAGCATGGTACTCGGTACTTGTGAATGTATGAGGAATTAGAGGTGACATGAAGTATCTTGCACGGCTATTTGGTTACAGACATATGTCAGACCATACAACTACACTAAAAACATACAGCTTAGCATCTGATTACGTTGAAAGTCGATCGTCGGCATGTGAGATGACGATTTGCCCGTGGTAAAATGTAACGAGTTGTTACATTACACAACCTTGGGACGCCCAAACGTGCCGAGGTCCCCCAGCTGTACCGAGCTGCCGTTCTTTAAACCCCCCCCTCCGCCTTTTCTTCTCTTCCCCAACTTCTAGTTCTCCCCATAGATCTAAAGTCGGAAGCCATCATTCACATACCTTCCGCTATGTCCGAGTTACGTTTTGATAATCAGACCGTCGTCGTCACCGGCGCCGGCGGTGGTCTTGGAAAAGCATATGCTCTTTTCTTTGCCTCAAGGGGTGCCAATGTCGTTGTCAACGACCTCGGTGGTTCTCACCATGGTGAGGGCAAGTCATCAAAGGTACGATCATCACCGAAAGACCGCGAGGGCATCAACTAACTTGTTCCAGGCTGCAGATGTTGTCGTTGAGGAGATCCGCGCCGCGGGCGGAAAGGCGGTCGCCAACTACAACAGCGTAGAGGACGGTGCCGCCATTATTGATACTGCTATTAAGAACTTTGGTCGCATTGATGTACTCATTAACAATGCTGGTATCCTGCGTGACGTTAGCTTCAAGAACATGAAGGATCAGGATTGGGACCTTATCAACCGTGTCCACACCTACGGTGCCTACAAGGTACGAAACCTGATTCAACATAATACTGGAAAGAAGAATACTAATGAGTGTTCCTTTTTCTATAGTGCGCACACGCTGCTTGGCCTCACTTCCGCAAACAAAAGTATGGCCGTGTCATTAACACTGCCTCGGCGGCCGGTCTCTTTGGCAACTTCGGCCAGGCCAACTACTCCGCCGCGAAGCTCGGCCAGGTCGGTTTCACTGAGACCCTGGCCAAGGAGGGTGCCAAATACAACATTATTGCCAACGTCATTGCTCCCATCGCGGCTAGCCGTATGACTGCCACCATTATGCCTCCGGATGTGCTGGAGAACCTTAAGCCCGACTGGGTTGTCCCCGTCGTCGCTCGTCTTGTTCACTCGTCCAACACCACTGAGACCGGTGGTATCTACGAGCTTGGTGGTGGTGCCGTGGCTAAGCTGCGCTGGCAGCGGGCCAAGGGTGCTCTTCTGAAGACCGATGACTCCTTGACTCCCGGTGCCATCGCCCGCAAGTGGGCCGATGTTAACGACTTCTCCGTGTGCGAGTACCCTACTGGTCCTGCTGACTTCATGGGTCTGCTCGAGAATGGTCTGAAGATGCCAAGTGCCGAGAAGGGCGAGGAGCCCGACTTCAAGGGCCGCGTGGCCCTGGTCACTGGTGGAGGTGCTGGTCTTGGCCGTGCTTACTGCTTGCTGTTTGCCAAGTACGGTGCTAAGGTTGTTGTCAACGATTTGATGGACCCAGAGCCTGTTGTCCAGGAGATCAGAAAGGCTGGCGGTGAGGCCGTTGGCAACAAGGCCAATTGCGAGGATGGCGACGCCGTCATCAAGTCCGCCATTGATGCCTTTGGACGCATTGACATCCTGGTCAACAACGCTGGTATCCTGCGTGACAAGGCATTCACCAACATGGATGATAACCTGTGGAACTCCGTTATCAATGTTCACTTACGCGGAACTTACAAGGTGACTAAGGCTGCCTGGCCTTACTTCCTTAAGCAGAAGTATGGCCGTGTTGTCAACACTGCTAGTACCAGCGGTATCTACGGTAACTTTGGCCAGGCTAACTACGCTGCCGCCAAGCTTGGTATCCTCGGTCTCTCTCGCGCTCTCGCTGTTGAGGGCGCTAAGTACAACATCAAGGTCAACACCATTGCCCCCAATGCTGGCACCGCCATGACCCGTACTATCATGCCCGAGGAGATGGTCCAGGCCTTCAAGCCTGACTATGTCGCTCCTCTGGTTGCCCTGCTTTGCTCTGATGCCGCTCCTGAGCCCTCCACCAAGGGCTTGTATGAGTGTGGTAGCGGTTGGTTCGGCCGCACCCGCTGGGAACGGTCTGGCGGCCACGGATTCCCCGTGGACGTCAAGCTGACTCCCGAGGAGGTGCTTAGCAAGTGGGAGAAGATCGTCAACTTCGACGATGGCCGTGCTGACCACCCCGAGGATGCTGCTGATGGCTCCGCCCGGGCCATGGCCAACATGGACAACCGCTCCGGCGGTAGCGAATCCAAGAACAGTTACCTCCAGAACATCGAGCAGGCCAAGGCTGCCTCGACTGACGGCACTGCTTTTGACTACACCGACCGTGATGTCATTCTCTACAATCTTAGTCTGGGTGCTAAGCGCACTGACCTGCCTTTGGTTTACGAGAACCATGAGCAGTTCCAGGCTCTTCCCTCCTTTGGTGTGGTCCCTTGGTTCAACACCGCTGTTCCTTGGAGCTTTGATGACATCGTGAAGAACTTCTCGCCTATGATGCTCCTTCACGGTGAGCAGTACATGGAGGTCCGCAAGTACCCCATTCCCACCACAGTCAAGACCTTGACCTACCCTAAGCTCATCGATGTTGTCGATAAGGGCAACGCCGCCCTGGTTGTGTCTGGTTTCACCACCAAGGATGCCACCACTGGTGAGGACCTGTTCTACAACGAGTCTACCGTCTTCATCCGTGGAAGCGGTGGCTTCGGCGGATCCCCCAAGCCTACTGCTGTTCGCCCCAAGGCTGCCACCGCTGCCTACAAGCCTCCCCAGCGCAAGGCTGATGCCGTGGTTGAGGAAAAGACCTCCGAGGACCAAGCTGCTTTGTACCGTCTGAACGGTGACTACAACCCTCTCCACATCGACCCCGAGTTCAGCAAGGTTGGCGGCTTCAAGACCCCTATTCTGCACGGCCTGTGCTCGCTGGGTGTGGCTGCTAAGTCGGTCTTCGCCAAATACGGTGCCTACAAGAACCTCAAGGTCCGCTTCGCTGGTGTCGTTTTGCCCGGCCAGACTCTCCGTACCGAGATGTGGAAGGAGGGCAACACTGTCCTCTTCCAGGCCACCGTTGTTGAGACTGGCAAGCCCGCCATCACCGGTGCCGGTGCCGAGCTCCTTGAGGGCGCCAAGGCCAAGCTGTAAAATAAAGGAATTTGTGTTTGAAACGATATCCCTGGGTATTGAGCGATCTGGAATACTCTAGTCAGAATGTGGCTTGTTTGTATGTACATAAATATTATTTTCCTTCTCTGTTAATGCATGAAATCTTCATCATCAGACCACTTTATTTGTCACCATCGTAGATGATCTAGACTGGTCTAGACAGGGACTGCATGGAGCATGCGCAAGGGGTGGAAATAGACCAAAGCCGAACAATTAAAGTATACTTCAGAGCCTCGCAGTCACAGAGTAGGCTCAAGATCAAACTTGTTCACTCTTAAAATCTGGCTTGAATCGCTTTCAGAAGCGCCTTCCGTAGTTCTGGAAGATTAACCAATCCTATATTGGCTCAGGCAACCATCAAACCGACCCCAAATCGCATGTCACCGCCCTCACTCATTCCTTTCACTCTTCATTCCAACCAACCGCCACAAACATCGTTCAATCCCTCAAAGCAAGCAATATTCCCGGGGAGGACCGAAATGTAGCAGTGTTCTCACCATTCTCAAAATGGTGCTCTCGCTGCCGGTCCCCAGCTTCTCGAGACCCTCCACGTCGCCCCCACGCCCCGCCGACGGCAGCGTGCCCGCATCACAATCCCGCCGTCACCGCGACTCAGCTTCCGCTGCCTCAACCGGCTCCTCAAACCGAACCTCATGGAAACCGGCCGCTCTGGGTGGTAGCGCCTCGGCTCCGAATAGCCACTCCATTACCCTGAGTGAAGCGTTGCGGAACAACCCGTTCGGTAGCCCGTCGCGCTCGTCTCGGTCCACCCAGGCATCTACAAGTGGAACGCAAGAACAAAAGCAAGAGCAGAAAGAGTTAAACGCGGCTCTTGAGGCGCTTGCCCGGATTTTTCCGGACGTAAAAATTGAGGTGTTCCGGGAGTTGCTTATACGTTTCGATGGAGAGAGCAGGCTGCACGTATGCGTCGAGCAGCTGCTCCGACATAAAAAGGACTGGGTATCTGGGAGATGGAATATATCGGAGGGAAGTGGTGGCTCGGATGACGAGGGGTCGGACGACCGTACTGGTTGTGTTCACGATGCCCTCACGGAAGGAGATCTCGTGCCGATCGAGGAACGGTTCCGCTCCGATGAGTACAAAGCTGCGGTACAAATGACGCTGGCAAAGGAATTTAGTAGCTTAAGCAAGAGCACACTCGAAGGTGTTCTGGCTGAAGTGAATTTTAGCTACCTGCGAGCGCGACCGATACTGCGGGACCTTTCACGGCGAACGTGGAGGGCTACATTCAACAGCATTTTGCCGTCTTTTAAACGCAAAAAAGACCGCGAAGAGCATCCGCTTGTCGTGTGGCAGCGTCGCGCAGACGGAGTGCTTGTGCCGAGGCTGAAAGATACTGGATGCGTAGAGCTGGATGGGGAGTTGCATGCGACGCTCGTGAATCCAGTGCTGCTGCAAAGACGCGAGGAACAGGAGACTGGCGACTTTCAATTTGCCTTGGACATCAACGAGAAAGAAGCCAGAGCGGCCCACGCCTTGTATGAGTGCGAGTGCTGCTTTGCCGACGTGACCTTTGAGCAGATTGCGACTTGCTCGGCGAACGTCCATATCATTTGTTACAACTGTATCCAGCGGACTACCCATGAAGCCCTTTTTGGTCAAGGATGGGGTAAGTCTGTGGACCTGGAGCATTCAACTCTCAAGTGCCTTGCTCCACTGTCAGTTGGCGCCTGCGAGGGCTGTCTTCATCCACAAATCGTGCGTCAGGCAATCCTTTTGGAGACAGCCGGAGCGGAGACGTACCGCAAATTTGAAGACCGGCTAGCGTCTGAAACATTGCTGAAATCGCAACTTAAGCTCATCCGGTGCCCATTCTGTTCTTATGCTGAAGCCGACCCTGTCTATCACCCTTCATCCCGGGGAATAGGCTGGCGAGTGCGACGTGACGGCGGTATCATTCCTTCCATACTGATGACAGTTCTCTTACTTGACCTTGTCCCACTACTTGTGATACCTCTTTTGATTCTTCTCCTCTTCAATCCCTCCTCTGTAACGGCTATCCTAACCAACTCCATCCGCAACCTTTGCCTTAAAATTCGCCCCAAGAGATTCAAATGCTCCAATCCAACCTGTGCACGAATCAGCTGTATGACGTGCCAGAAGGCATGGCGAGACCCCCATGTCTGTCATGAGCCATTGTTACTCGACTTACGCGCAACTGTCGAGGCTGCCCGTACATCCGCGGTGAAACGAACCTGCCCTCGCTGCAGCCTCTCTTTCGTTAAATCATCAGGCTGTAACAAACTCACCTGTGTATGCGGATACTCAATGTGTTACCTCTGCCGCAAAGCCCTTGGCACTCCCGTTCGGCCACCACAAGGCAATCGCGACGGCAGACGGCGTCATATTGATATAGATCGAAATGATCTTCCCGCTGTGGGGTTCGATGGTGTATTCGACGATGAAGACTTGGAAGACGATGAATTTGAAGAACAGGAAGGCTATAAGCATTTCTGCGAACACTTTCGCATCAACCCAGGCTCTCGCTGTACTGAATGCACGAAATGTGACCTCTACCAGGCCGAAGACGAAGAGGCTGTTGCTCGTCGCGCTGGAGAGAAAGCCGAGCGCGAGTGGATGATTCGCCAAGGGAATGATTCGATTTCGACCGGCTCTGCGGCTACACTGGGACTTCGAAGTGTCAACCAAGACCTTTCGGCTGGCGCAGAAGGCAACTCTGCTACCCGTCGTACCTCTGCTTCCTTATGGGATCTCCATCTTAGCGCCGGGAAACCATGGGGCTACTGGTTTAGCGATGTCTGGCTGGATGGAGGGTGGAAGTTGGAAGGACAAGCTCTGGTAGATTGGATTGTGGAGCGAGTTGTTGTTATCGAAAATCTGTGATTTCCGTTCGCTACGTGAGCACAATAGGCTCTTGGTTTTGTTTTCCTGATTTCTGTTATGTGGATCTGGTTCAATTTGCGGCAACCCGCATTGCTTGTGATTCCTTCTTTGTTGCAATCCAATGTTTCTTGGGATGGCGTCTTATGGAGAATGGGTTTGCTTTTCATTACTTCGAACTTGGGGTGTGATGACATGATGATTGATATGACACGCATGGCTCTTCTTTTTGCGGGCGGGGAAATAGTCTCTTCCTTTAATACATGATTGACCTTCAGATTTTTCCATGCTATATTGGCTCATATCTAGCTTATTAACAATGATCTGAAACTCGAGTGCTTTCACTTCGATTCTTCTATAACACTCAACGTCTATGTCTTAGTCTCAGACCTCAATACCACATGTAATATTTACCTACCCACCCACAAATGCAACCCATAAGCTATTCGGGTTTCTCGCTCTGCCTAGGTTCCTTCTCCGGATCTGACCCACTCTGAGCTCTCTTCTTTCCCTCCTCCTTCAGAGCAGCATCATCAGCCCTATTCAAGCCAACCTGGGGAATAAGCCAACAAGCAAGCAGAACCGCCAATGCTGCTAGCCCTGCCTCGATAAGGAAAATGATCCGGAAGCCTTTTCGGTACGCTGGAATCAAGACACTCCGGATATGCGCTGCCTCCTCTGCGGACTGGGTTGATAGGAAAGTCGAAGGACTTGTCAACAGGGACTGTGAGTCAGATGCGGAGAGATCGAGGCTCGATATTGAGAATGCGATCACGTTGTTGCTAACCACGAATTATTAGAAAAAGGAACCGAGCATCAGGGTGATGAGCCAAGTTCTTACAGGATTGTCCCACTAATGACTATTCCAAGTGTGCCACCCAGATTCCGCATGAAACTAGATTATCATTAGACACTGCACACACAAATCATGGCGAAGAACTTACCTTCTGAAGGAAGTGACGACAGCCATGTCTCGACGCTCGACCCCAGCTTGTAGTGCAATGAGAGATCTATGCATGTTAGCGACGCAAACCATTGCGAGACGTGAACTTACGGTTGCAAGGTACTTCCGACACCTGCTCCGCTCAAAATGGCATAGCCAATTTGCTTCCCAACCCCTGATGTTTCATCCAGGGTCGAGTAGAGACCAAGAGCAACTGCCCAGATGGAAAACCCGAAAAGAATACTTTCTCTGTATCGACCAAGCCAGTGTACGACAAGACCCGATATGGTACTGGCGAAAGCTGTGGTAAACGATTAGCAACTAAAACCGACCTGTAGGAGATTGAAACATACTTTGAATCACGATAATTGGGATCAACATAGCGGCCGCTTTCACGGTGCTGTAGTTGTAGACCAGCTGGAAGAAGGTGGGAATATAGTAGAGCTGAACCATACTATTCCACCCCCCGATGAACATGGTGGCAGTGCAACCATTGACAATTCGAACGCGGAAGATGTGAAGGGGAATCAAGGGGACAGCAGCACCTTTCCACTGCCACAGCACAAAAGCAACGGAAATCACGAAGCCAACCACTAATGTTGCGATGACATGTGGAGAATTCCATGCATACTCGTTTCCACCCCAGTTCAAACCAAGGAAAAAGACCGCGGTACCTCCAAGAGCCAGAACTACACCCACAAAATCGATGGCCTTCACCTTGAGTTTCCAGTCACCTTCGACCTCCCGCAATGGCATGAAGAAATACACACACGCTGAACAGATCGCAGTCAAGGGCAGGTTCAATCGGAAGATCCACCGCCACGAATCTTGCGATACAGATGCTAACGCTCCACCGATGAGCGGTCCGATGCCATTGGCAATGGCGACCACTGCACCCATGATACCTTGATACTTTCCACGTTCACGGAGAGGAACGACATCGCTCACGATCATCTGCGCGACGGTCATCAAACCGCCGCCTCCCACACCAGTAAAGGCGCGGAAGACGATCAACTGTGTGACAGTCTGTGCCAACGAGGCCGCTAACGACCCGATGAAGAAAATTGCCAGACCAACGAACAATACAAGCTTCCGAGACCAGATGTCGGAAAGCTTTCCATAGAGAAGTTGGAAGCATGTGGAAGTTCTACAAGATCAGCAAGATTCAAAAATAAGAAAAGAGACCATCAGATGCCATTAATCCCAACTCACACAAAATAGGAACCAGAGATCCAAGATGCCTGGTTGCTTGCCCCCAATGAATTGGCAATGATGTACAGACATGATGCCAACGTCGTCTGGTCCACCAATGACACAAAATCGACGCTAGCACATGCTAGGAAGATCTGATTAAGAAAAGCCACAGCCAGTTAGCCAATGCCCTTCGCATTCATTTCTTCTGGTGGCTAATGAAGACTTACAGTGATAATTGTCCGTCTAGGTACATAATTCGTCTGTTCATTGAAAACAAGCACCTTCGACCCATTATTCTGTCCATTGTCCAAAGAGAGCTCCCCATCGGTATCAGCTCTGGGATTGGAGCGATCTGATCTATCTTCAAGAACTCCGGACATGGTGTGGACGTTTTGTTACTGGAACATGAGCACAAAGCGGCGCAAAGGAGCGAGACCAAACCCCTTGGATATAAATGCCGATTGAATTTTTCGATCATTTTTATGAATAATTTCTAACCTAATTATCCGTATCAGGGGACCTGCGTACTCCATAGTTGAGCACATTTCTCGATGCATTGTCCGAGTGGGGTCTACTAATTCGATAAAGATCGGCAGACTCAACGGAAAGAAACCTTGACAGCTGCAGATCCGCGGTGGAGTTCCCAACTTTCTTGCTTAGACAAAATTGCTCAAACACTCTCAAGGTACTCGAATTCTTCTCAATTCATTACCAGTCGGCCATAATGCGGGATGGGGGCATGAACCGCGTAAGCGAGAGTTGGATTGAGTTCGTTTGCGGATGTGGCTTTGATCCTTGGCGTTTTGATCGGAGGACCTTGATGATCTTTGTGATGAATGCTGCATGTACGTGCTAGATCTATGGGTACCTGAGGACAATTGCGAATTCTAGAATTCCACGATTTCTAGAACATTTTTGGGAGCTTGGAGAAGATAGGATAACTACGTAGTGCTCTGGATACCGTCAAGCTACCCGAACACAGAGACGTGTAAAGAAGACTGGACCCCCTGCGTGAAGATGCCTGGATTGTCAATCATGCCGTTTTCATCGGTTCGATCCACAGTCCGAGAAAAGGCATATTGCGGACCGGCCAGGGTCCATTCTTCCAAGGTAGGTCGACGCTAAAACTGCGAGATATTAGTCAATCGCTACATAGTTGCCTTCCTGATCCAACGCGGCCGCGGAGAATGGATTTCGGCGCTTGCAGCGTTCTAATTAGCAGATTGGAAGGATTGCCCCTCTCCAAAACTTGGCTAGGTGGCATGTGCAACTATCAAGGTGGGACCCTGGGGAATACAGCTCTTTTCCCCTCTCTTGCAGCTTTTAAACTTGCCTCTTTTGGGCATGAAACAGACTCAGAGGTGTGGGAGGGGCTCATGCGTGCCGCTATGAAGTATATTTGGCTATCAATCTCCCGGTGCTCTTGAACTTTCCCCCCCCTCCTGATAGATTATAAAAAAGGTATTTACCCACCGGTCAATCGTGGTGTTTGTCTCAACAAAATGGCACCTCATAAAATGGCCAACTCAAATGAGCTCAATGTGTATTTTGGCACGGACTCGTTGAAAAAGTATTTTGATCCTGATTGTCAGCCTCCTTTGCCTCTTGTTGAGCTGCCGGAACATCTCAACCCATACTATCATGATGGGATTCGGATATATGCAAAGATGATGACTATGCACCCGGCAAACAATGTTAAGGCTATGCCAGGTAAGACGATCCCGTTTCATACATGAGAAACCAGCCCGGGAAGACCACTGCTAATTTCAGGTAGCAATGAACATGCTGGAAACAAGCGTGGATCCAAATAAGACCAACACTATCATTGAATACAGCTCCGGATCAACTGTGATTTCAATGTCCATGGTTGCAAGAGTCATGCACGGCATAAACGATACACGAGCTTTCTTGAGTAACAAGACCAGTGATGCGAAACTGAAGCTGATGCAGTTTTTCGGTCTGGATATCACCTTATTTGGCGGACCCTCACAGCCAGAACCCCTCGACGAGCGTGGTGGCATTCAAAATGCCCGCAGACAAGCCAAAGAGTCCGATTCAATCGTCAACCCAAATCAATATGAAAACGACAACAACTGGCAGTCACACATCCGATGGACCGGACCACAGATCTTCAAACAACTACCCGAGATCAATGTTCTCTGTGCTGGCATGGGTACATCGGGCACATTAACCGGACTTGGCACATATTTCAAGAGCGTGAAGCCGTCCGTGACGCGAATCGGCGTCTGCACAGCACCCGGTGACCGTGTACCTGGCCCCAGGTCCTATGCACTGTTACGACCCGTCGAGTTCCCATGGAAAGAAGCAGTGGATACCGTCGAAGAAGTCGGATCCTCTGACTCGTACACCTTGTCTCTGAGGCTATGCCGAGAGGGGATTGTCTGCGGCCCGTCATCCGGATTCAACCTGCAAGGCCTATTCCAGATGCTAGAGAAGCGTAAGGCAGCCGGTACACTAGCTGATTTAGCCGGCCCAGACGGAATGACGCACTGCGTCTTTTTGTGCTGCGACTTGCCATACCAGTACATTGAGGAGTATTTCCAGAAACTAGGCTCTGCACAATTCCCTCCCATCCACAATGAGGTAAGATGACGTTTTCGATTCCTTTTACCCCGCAAACCAAGTCACACTCCCGCTAATACAATGTAGCAATTGACCAAAGTCGATCTCCACCGCTATGACGAAGCCTGGGAGCGGGATGCCCTGGAGGTTCTTCCACAGGTATACGGATCCACTCGGTCCCTCGCGGAAAGCCAAATGAGCGAGATCACGCTAAAACCCCAACACCGGGTCCTCGATCTGCGGAAACCAGATGATTTCCAAGCATGGCATCTGCCCGAGTCGATCAACCTCCCGCTGAGCAGTGTTGGACCTCACACGACATCGCCGTTTTCGGATCCGGCGGTGTTGGAGGCGCAGTGGGTGGAGCTGGAGAAGATCTTCCGCGACGGCCGCCTAGTGTCTCAGCTTGGTTCACATCATGTTCTGGTTGTATGCTACAATGGGGATACAGCACGCGTGGCTACCAGTGTTCTTCGGGCGAAGGGCCTTGAAGCGGATAGCGTGCGCGGTGGCTTCCATGGGCTGAAGGTTTATGGGATCGGGAGTGAAGGTCCCGCTGTGTCCACTAAGGCTGCTGGGCCTATTGCGGCAACTGTTTCTGTTTCGGCTGTGCCCCTTGATTAGTTTATTAAGATCATCATCCTCAAGGGGTACTGTATATGGGGAGAAGTTGGGAATGTAGGGTTGGAGCTGCCATGTGAGGCGCTAGGCCGGATGCGGAAAACTTCTTCCTGTGGCTTTTTGTATATACTGCGTTTTGATTGGTTGAACCGTGTTGTTTTCTTTCTTTTCCTTTTCGTTCGGTGAATACAACCCTATGATTTCAGTACCAAGATCTGCTCAAAGTCTAGACTCGAGTAAGAAGAAGTGAATAGAGGACTGAGAGGCTGCGTCATTGATGTAGTGACTCTGATAGATGTCAGCCACACACGCCTAATACTTTCAGGTACTTGAATATACGTTATAATTGCTGCATATAGTGACACTGATTAAGTTTAGAGATAATCGGTACTTTTCAGAGAACAAAAGGTTCATACAAGGTTCAAGTATTAATTACATGTTGTTCTAACAATGGTAGCTTGAATCCAGGCACAGTGTCTAGATCGAAGAGATTCCACGCAAATCTGCTCAGCGTTAGATTTTTGAACACCGAAATCATAAGAAAACAACATTTAAGGGAAAAAGTACGAAGGTGGACCATAGAAAATAGATAGAAAACGGGAAATCTGCTCAATTTCCAACGGATCGTAGATCGGTCGTCAGGAATGCGTGGAAAGAGGGATGTATTTGCCGTCATCATCTTCCCCCGGCCCGTTTTCGGTGCAACGTTCTACACGATGAACCCAACTTTCTACTCAAACGGTACAAAACTTTAAACTGTCGATCATCCAAGAGATTATTATCTCGGTTCTTTCTTTCATTCAATTAAACCACAACAACCCCGGGAAGTGCAAGTGGCACACCTCTCTCAACCTCCAGCGATCACAGTCTTATGGTGCAACTACCGTAGCCATGATGGACACGAAGATGAATGGAGGCGGCATCCCCTGGTTGGATCAACCGGTGATGCTTCACTCATCCCGGGCAGATAAGTGCAAGTTATCGCCCGCGCAGTGTGCCTATCGTAGCGGCCATTGGCGCTACTGGTATGTTTTGTGGCTGCATTCCAGATCGCCCCTCTACTGTTTACATGCTGATAAGAGATTCACGACAGGTACGAGGCTGACCATGTGTATGCGCTTGCTACGGTTTACTTTTGCTGTGCTGTGATCGGTGTATTCGCTCTGTCCAATTTCCTTGTTAGATACTCTCCGGAATGGGTCAAGAGAACCCGAGTATGGCGTGCGACTACTTCGGTATCCCGATACCTGGCTTATCGTGGATATGGACTCCCGATGATGCGATACTGGTCCCCTTCCTTGGGAGTGTTGTTGTTGGGTATTGCGGGGATGGGCTTCTTCCTCGGTAGGAGACCAATTGATTTGATGTACGACGATAGGAGACTGACTTGGATTGGGCAGGAATGACTCTTGGTCCGCAACCCTATTATTGGCCAACAGATGCTAGTTATGGAGGTAGTCCTCCCATTGCTACACGAGCAGGGTGGATGGCTCTCGCACTGCTACCATTTGTGCTGTGAGTATCGTGAATACAATATGAGATGATGAGTGTGTCGGGCTAATGCTTGAAATAGTGCTTTGAGTGTCAAGGCAAACATGATATCTGCACTGACTGGTATTCCCCATGAGAAGTTGCAAGTCTTCCATCACTGGACCAGTTACGCCATGTTTGCCCTAGCGCTTGTCCACACATTCCCATTCATCATTTACAACCAGCGGAAAGGTGACTTGGTAAAACAGTGGAAGACCAGTGTGGCATACTGGACTGGAGTTGTCACTATCATTGCACAGGCTTATCTGACCCTGATGTCCCTGCCATTTATCCGGTAAGCCTGCGTACGATCATACCTGAAGAGCTTTGGCTAACTGTTGGCAGGAATCGATTCTATGAGTTCTTCAAAGCTACACATATGCTCGCCGCTGTTGTTTTTGTCGTATTCTTCTTCCTCCACTGCGATTTCCGTCTTTCTTCATGGTATGTGATACGTATCCGTCTTTGCGAATGGCCTGTACTCACAAATAGTAGGGACTACTTCATTGCTACGGGTGCCATTTATCTGCTGTGCCTATTGACCTCACAGGTCCGCACTTACCTGATCAACGGCCTCCACACAGCGACCCTCGAGGTCCTCCCCAGTGGTCTTATCCGCGTTGCAGTCCCAACAGTCATGAACTGGACACCGGGTCAGCATGTCTTTGTGCGATTCTTGACTTCTGACTTGCACTTGTTCACCGCTCACCCGTTCACCATTTCATCTGTCTGTCGAAGCCCTAACGAGACCGGGAAAGCTTCTGAAATCATCTTCTATATCAAGCCACGCAAAGGTGTGACTGCCCGACTAGCAGCCATCGCTGCGAAGAGCCCCGGCTGCTCAAAGAAGATATTAATCGAGGGACCCTACGGAGGCGTCAGCGCAAACCATATGGCTCGGTTTGACACCCTTCTCGTAATCGCCGGTGGATCAGGAGGTGGATTCTCCCTCGCAATGGTCGACGAAGCGCTACGACTCTCTGCACTGGAATCAAAAAATAACAACTCCGAACACGAAGGTCGGCGTAACTTACAGGTCGTATTCTCAACTCGTGACACCGCCATGGCAGACTGGTATGCCGCAGAGATCGAATCCCGACTCTCCCATTCTACAACTCTCTCCTCGGACCCGGATAACGGGTTCGAGACGGCTGTTTCCGTGCATATCACATCCCGTGTTAACTCGGCTTCTTCTTCGCCATCGATTGGCTTTGAGAAAGACGCTGATAAGTTGACACCAACGGAAATTACCACAACAGGATCATTTAGTCTCAATGTCCACCGCAATGCCCGCCCAGACATCCCTGGTCTCGTTGCACGTACCGTGGCTATGGGGAACACCCAGGGCCAGCACATCGGGAAAAAGCAGCGGATCGGAGTTCTGGTTTGTGGACCTGCTTCTATGCTCCATGATACACGCAACGCAGCAGCTTTGGCTCAGACCCGAGCTCTAGGAGGTGAGGTCGAGGAGTTGTACCTGCACTCCGAGCCTTTTGCGTAGGTTTTTCTTCTCCTCAATATGCAAGGAATGATTTCACTAACAATATTTTCTAGGTGGTGATTTGTGTTCTTCCTGAGCGTCTTATCGGCTGGCCTGATATATGCTCCTTCGTTTCGATACTACATTTTTATTTGCTATGCACATTATTATTGGATGATATAATTAGATGCCTTATCATTATCTTGCTGGCCCTAAGGCTCACTTATTTACTTGATAATTTAATTTCGAGATTGACATTATTCCATCATGTGAAGCTGCTATATAAGCCTGTAGGTCTTCCACCAGATATTCGAGGTTCACTCTTCACGACTCTAAACGAATCTATTGGCGGACCTACACTAACCGATCACGGGGCTACCAACCACTACTGCAAAACACGCCCAACTTCAGTGTATGGCATTGTGTCTCTATACAAGTGCGCTTTACCGGTGCAAGTGAGATGAAGTGGTGGACTTCTCTACAAGGTGGTTCAAGACTTGGTCAGCAAGGATAATACGGCCCTTTCGCTCTTGCAATCCAACAACCATTAAAACTCAGAGGAGACATGGCAAAATCTCTCAATTCTTGGCCCGATGCCCATCTCTACTCACAGTCCTGTCAGTATGGATTTTCTTCAGGATCCCAAAGAGGCTGAGACTTTAGAGAGGAACGCATCAATAATTAACAAATCAATTGCGCATTGCATGCATTTTGTGCAGTAGGTAGGGTAATGGTAGCGACAGCCTGAGCCAATGACGTTCCTCGGCGAATCGTAACTCAGAGGGAAAGCCCGTAACAAGAATGTGCGTACGACCAAGCTATGTAATCGTGCAGATCAACTTCCCCGCAAAGTCGGGGTAAGATCCACTCATGACCTCAACCTCCTTTCATTCCAACTTCCCCTCCTTCTTCCACATTTCCCATTTGAACAACTATCGCAATCATGACTAGAGGATTCGCAGCCATCACGCCCGAGTGCGAGGCCACCTTTGACGCCGTCAAGGAGACCGACAGCCTCAACTACGTCATCTACGAGGCTTCTGCACACGACAAGAAGATCTCCGTCGCCGAGTCTGGCAAATACACAGACTACGCCGAATTCCTCACTCATTTCAAGGATGATACCCCCCGGTACGCGGTGGTTGAGTTGGAATATGCATTTCCGGGCGGTGATAAGCCACGACACAAACTAGTCTTCATCACATGGTACGGGGCACGTGCTCATTCTATATCGCTGTGGCAAAGAGACTGATGTTTCAATCTTCGTCTTTAGGGTTCCGGAGGGATCGAATCTCCATGACAAGGCCTACTACACCACAAACAAGGATCACCTTTATCGCGCACTTTCGGATATTAGCCTTCATATTCAGGCGGCCACTCAGGCGGACCTGGCTCATGCCAAGAGTAAGTCAATGGTCTAATTGGATTCAACAATTGTAATTGATGCTAATCTTTTGGCTCTGATCAGTCCTGAGCCAATTCAAGGCGCTTTGAAGGGTACTTAGGTTCGCTTTATGTGGTGGGATGTACGGATATCGAAGCATAGCATACTTTACCACCTAGCAACAATACAGACAGAAGCTTTTACAATGAGAAGACTTTCTTGATTTAACTTAAGTAATTACGAGAATATATGAAATTTTCGTACCAGCACACGCGGGAACTTCATCAACGTCATTTGGTGGGGTATCTTCAGCAACCGCTGAGCAGTGACAGCTTAAACGCCAAGTGATCAACTCCTTTAAGTGTATATTTTCTCCCATTCTTTTCTTCCTTTTCATAATTCTATATTCGTACCATTGTGGATATGAAATACTTGCTGTAAAGATATTCGCAGATTTGAAAGTGAACTGAATCATATTAACAGCCCGATGCACCCATCTAAGCCCTAGTAAATATACCAAATCGAAGTATAATGCACAATCTAGCAGAACAAAACAGCCTATATAAGCCGAACCCGAGAGCGTCACGTAAAATTACAGTCGAATCAGAAGGTCTAGTTAGTAGATTCTATTCAACGCCATGGCAATGATAGAAAGATAGATGGATGTAGGGATTGTCCGTCCCAAGCACAGACGGACAAGAAGTCAAGTAGAAGGAATCCGGAAATGCAAGACCCAGATCAAGATCAAACTCCAGGTTTCAAACTCCAATCAATCACAAACCAAAAAATGTCACAGTCCTGGTCCGCAATGTATCGGAATAAAAACCTGGATATGCCAAAGAAGAGAGGAGAGAGGAGAGGAGAGGAACAAGAAGTCCTCGAACGGAAAGGAAAGAGAAACAAGAAAGTCGTGAGGGGTCATAAGTTTCAATTGCTCTCCAGCTTGTCCATGAGCGCAGCCCGCATCCGCACATTGACCACGCCACCAATACCATAAGCAGGAACGATCTTACCCATTCGCGCAAATGAGCTAGAGATGTAGTCTCTGCGAATGCGGGAAGCACGTTCTGTCCATGGCATACCGCCGGGCGGTTGACGGTTATACAAATCCAGACCGAGGAGATGCAAGGGTGTACTAGCGAACTGCATAAGGGCCGGACAAGAGAATTGAGCGAGAGTCGCTTTCATGCGTGGAGTTTCGGCAATGAAGTCCGGTATTGAAGGTGCGATTAGGGGAGGAACGTTGAAGGAGGCGAAGATTGTGATGCTGTCGCGGAGACAGAAAAGTCCGTATGAGATTGTAGGGATTTTCGGCGCGGAGGCTGTCATGTGCGGGTGGCAGCTGTATTGTGAAGCTTGTGTAGGGGCTGCTGGGGCTGGCATTGCGCCTGTTGTACCGGTTTGATTTGCTGGGGTGGTAGGAGGAGGGTTTGCGCCGAAGATTTTGGCGAAGCGTGCATCTTTGTATACGCAGATTGCCATGTTTACAACGGTTGTAGAAATGAACTTTGCCGGACCAGCCGTTACGGTGGAGAATGATTGGTCGCGGAGTGTGGAGGAGATAGTGTCCATGACATTTGCTGTTAGGTATGTCGAGCTGTATAGGGTGTAGATGAGGATGAATGGGGTGCTGAAGAAGAATCCGCTCGGTTTTGTGACCATGGACCGGAGACAGCTTGTGATTGTTTCTCGGATTGGAAACCCTTTTGAGGCTTTCTCGATGATCGCGCTGTGAAGAATTGTGTAAGCTACTGCTGTTGCTGACAGCTATTGACTCATTCGAGTCTAACAGGAACTGCGGGAAGAACGGAAGCAAAAAAAGAGGAAAGTTCAGACTCACCGATCAATAATTGTAATCAGCGGACATGTTAACGCGCCGGCAGATGCTGCACTGGCGACGTCGACACCGAGTCGAAGCCCAAGATTCCTTGTGTTCCATGCTTGCGCAGGTTTTTGTTGCGAAGCCGACATCGCGACATGTTCTGAGACCGTGGTCATGTTGAGAGTGTTTTGCGCGATAGCATCGCGTGTCATCGGCAAAGGAATCCGGGGACAGGATCACCGGTGAAGAAACCGAATGAAGGAGAAGTAATTACAAATGTGACAGCGCTATCTTTTAAAACCGGAGAACAATACAGCTCGGACGAGAAAGGACCGGGCGCGATCCGGTGCCGAGTCTCCGATGCCGGATTATCTGCCGGATAAACGTTAACTGTGAACCGCGTCTACTTCGAGTACAACTGCAGTTAATTCATGACCGTGATATATTTTAATCCCCAACGCCATATACACATATGAGAAAAGAAGTAACTAAGTAGAGCTTGTAATCGCCGCCGAGATTCCATCCAGCGTCACATTCACGGCACCGGCTTGAACGAGCTGTGGCAAATTTGTTAGTTGAGGGTTTTATCTTTAGCCATTCAGGGCATCACATACCGCTCGTTGCAGATCGTCAATGAGATCATCAACATCTTCGATACCCACACACAAACGAATCAGATCCTCGGGCATGGCACGTTCCGCCCGTGTCTTCGCATCAATACTGGCATGGCTCATCCGGCAAGGCATGCTGATCAAAGAGTTGACACAGCCAAAGCTAACACTAATCGCCCAAATCTTTGCGCTCTCAACAATGCGCTCGCTAACATCCACATTGCCGGTCTCAAAGGATAGCACGGCGCCCGCACCGCGCGCCATGGAGTTGTGCAACTCGTACTGCGGGTGCGAGCGCAGACCGGGGTATCGCACCTTGAATCCGTGATTCTCGAGGAACTCGGCAATACGTTGTGTGTTGCTCTGCTGCTGGTCCATACGAACCTTGAGGGTCTTCACACCGCGCATCAGCAGCCATGAGTCGAAAGGTGAGAGACCACAGCCCGAGGCGTTAATGGGGAAGTACAGACGCTCGCCGAGGGCCAGGTCGTTGACTGCGATGACACCGGCCATCAGGTCGTGGTGTCCGGAGAGGTACTTGGTACCACTCTCGTAGACGATGTCGGCACCCAGGTCGAGAGGGTTCAGCAACAATGGGGACATCATAGTGTTATCCACGGACACCAGGCATTTAGGGTTGGCCTCGTGGGCGGCTGCGGCGATCTTGGCAATGTCGACAATCTTAATCAGTGGGTTGGTGGGGGTCTCTAGGAGAACCATGGTGGTCTTCTCGCTCAAAACCTCCTCCACCTTCTCCAACCGGGTGGTGTCAACGTGGTGAACGGTGATACCACCGTTGGTCGAGAGGTACTTCAACAGGCGGTGTGACCCGCCGTACAGATCATCACCAGTAACGACCTCGTCGCCAGGACGCAAAAGTCGGGTGATCACATCGAGGGCAGCCATGCCGGAAGACACGACGAGAGCCCGCTGGGCCGACATGATCTTGGCGAGGTGACGCTCAAGATGGGTGCGAGTTGGGTTACCGGACCGAGTGTAGTCATATTCACCACCCCCGCCTCCGGATGTTTGCTTGAAGGTGGCACTCTAAATACAATGGTATCAGCGATTCTGGCAATTCCACATTCAAATTGATCCCATCTTCTTTTCTTGTGGAGTTCCTACCTGGTAAATTGGCACACTGCTCGCGTTGTATTGATCACTGCCCTCGGTGTACACCAATTCGGTGGCAATGTTGTACCGGCGGCTGCCGTGCGGGCTGGACGGAGCTGGTGAAGGGGGAAGGTCATTGCCCTGGAGGTCGACTTGAGGGAATGCCTTCTTCACGGAGCTCGACGCGCCCGAGTCATTGTTGGGGGCTCCGGATCCTGATGCCGACATCGCTTTGCTGCAGGGCGGGGCAGAGATAGAGGGTAGGTGAGGATAGTGCGTAGTAAGAGGATGCGGGATGAGTCGCAATTCCAATTCTATGAAAAAAGATGAATGCTATAGGGAGATGAAATATGTAAAAAAGGAGAACTGAAGGATTGAAATCAAAAATGTCGATTACTTCTCCCACTTTCTCTTTCCCCCGGACAACTCGCTGCTATGACTCCGCTCTCGGAGGCTTCTAATTGGTCCATTGGGCGGCCCTGCGATTTCGTCATTTGCTAGTCCCGATTAGGCTAAGCCGTCTAGGTTTTACTTTCATAGAAAGGGCTTACTTGCACATCCTCTAGGAATAGTATTTATGGGTTATAGTATCTGTGAATAATATTTGACAGGAAGAATAAACCACGTCATATAAACCCCAACCTACCCGTCCGGTATTAATCCAAACAGCCTCATCAGCAAAACGCCAGACAAATTCCACCCCAACATTCCATTTTGAGCAGCCAGTAGGATGAGACGGAAAAGCAATTCAACTGTACATTATGTTAAATTTCACACAACCAGGTAGCTAAAACAGGAAAAGGCCTATGCGGCCAGATCTCCGAAGCCACCATTGATACCAAAGAATTGAAACCTGAAAGAATCAGTACGAGAACATATGTAATGATAAGGAGGGGAACATACCAGTCTTCCACATTCAAGGTCGTCGGCGCAGTCGGTCCACTACGTGAACTGTTGCTCCAATTATCATTATCTTGGCTACCAGCGTCCAGCGCGGCACCACTCATCGTCCCATCCATGCCTTGCATCGGCCATGTCTGTCCTTCCATTCCGAACATCTGCTGCTGCCCCGGTGGCATCCCCATGCCTCCGGGACCACCCTGCATCATTTGAGGGCTACCCTGAGAGGCAGACATACTACGCCCGTGAACGGGCTGCTGTTGCGGATTGCCCATCGGCCGCTGGCCCATATTCTGAGACGGAATCGAGGGCATATTTAGCGTTGGATCCATGGCGGGAGGTGGAGATGTCAGTTCGGGGAAGATCGCAGTTCCGTCAGGGAAGAGTTGGTCGGGTTGGAAGTTCTCCCATAAAGATGGGGACAGATTGGGCGACGCACGGGTCACAAGGAAGAAGTCTGGCGGTGTAGCGGGAAGAGAGAACTGGGCGTTGAAGGGGGTGGTCGGCCGTGTATTACTCCGTGAGTTGGCTGCTCCAGAGATGGGGTCCGCAGGGCCACGGTGCATGTTGGGAGATGTCTGAACCAGGGAAGGTTGGTTCAATTCCCGAGACGGCGTAACAGCCGGAGTCTGTGGTCGAGAACGTTCATACGAGACGGGGGGCG